ATTTTTGTGTAAAAAAAAAGTAGTCTTCTGTTCACTAGATGTTACAGACAAGGCCCGCATCCTTCCACCACCTGAAGAAGATGACATGTCTGGGATCGCGTCTTTCATTCAGACAGAAGACATGTTTTATTGTCGATGGTAGAGACAGCACGAACAACACGAACACAGAATGCAAGTGTATTATACAGAGCGGAGGCATGGAGTCCTCCAATCAGCAGCTGCCACAGTGCCATGTAGCTTGGCCTTCAGATAGACAAAACAAGGGAAAAGTACTGGCTTCTGCACATTGATAGAATGATGAGTTTAACTTTAACTAAAAGTTGCTTAAAAGTGTTATGAAATCTCACAATGAGCTTGATAAACATGTAAAACTTTAAATGCAATTGGAATTCAACTCCACAATCAGCACCAACCAAACTGCAGGAATAAAAATGCCAATTTTACAACATGACATTTCCTTTTGACAAGGAAAGAAGATAACAAGCTGATAACGTTACGTAATTGCACACAAGCAACCAAAAGGTGTGCAACCAAAACTGCCTCAGACAAGAATCGAACCCGGATCCTAACCTGCAACACTAACCATTCGGCCAACATGGTATCATTAGGCAAGACATGTTTGCACGCAGCTTTAATACCTGAGCGTTTAAGTCGCTGGCAGAGCTTAAGCGGACTTAACCTGCCACTTTTGTGGCGATAAGATGTAATATGTTTCACGCAGCTGCGTGATTCATGAAAAGCGTGAGTGAAGACGACCAAACGAAATGGGACCTACTGTATACTGCTGGACACGGACACGGTCAGGATTGTCTGTAAATTACAGCATTAACAAAAACCATGTACAATAGCTCTTTGCATGTGTTAGTATTAGATAGCAATATGGCCTACGTGCAGGACTGTACAAGGACTCGGATGATGACTCCATGTTTTGACTATGATGTGACTGTCTCTGTGTGACACGTATGTCTTTCGATGTGTGACGTGACAATGACTATATAAACTGTGTACTGACTCCATTTTGTCTGAGAGAAAGAAACAATGGAAACCACTGGAACTTGAGAGAAACTTCCAGAGTTTGGCGCACCACGATCTGTCTCTGTCTGCTTCATTCCTGACACATGTTGGAGTTTCCCCGCGAATGATGAAGCATTGGTTTTATACAGCACTTTTCTGAACTCCCAAAGACGCTTCACATTGTTATTCATTCACTCTAAACACAGTGGTGACACTACTGTAGCCACAGATGACCTGGGGCGCCAACCGGGGAGGCCACCAGTCTGTGCCAATAGGCCCTCCCATCACCGACCATTCACACACACACCAGACTCATTCTAATGTAGGGGAAGTGTCTTGCCTAAGAACACAACCACAGTTTGACACTTTACAGCCACAGCCGCCCCACTGTGGCACCAGCTGTTCCCAAAGGTCTCCCATCACAGTACTAACCAGGCCCTGCCCTGCTTAGCTTCAGAGGTCTGGCAGGATCTGGTTTTCTGCTGCAGCTGTGACCACAAGAAGCAAAGGCATCTGATTGGTCAATGCTTATATGGCTGCATCTTTACAAAGACAATATTGAATATTAAAGATATGTATTTTCTACTTCCGGGTGGATCATCAAGACTATTGGTCCTCCCGATTGTCAATCATTCTGGTGATTGACAATCATTCTCGTCAAAAAAGACCAGAGAGTTTTGATCAAAAAGTGGAGAGAGCAGTTCTTTCCAAGCCTGGTCGTACCACACCATTGTACAAATTACATTTCGTACTAAGGTCTGGATGTGCTCCATTGAGCTCCGTTAACAGGTGGGAGGGGTTAACTCCTTTTGCAAATTGAAACGATTGGATCTGAGTTTACCGTGAGGTATGTAGTGCGCCCGAGTGAGTCGTTAGCTTTTAGCCTAGCCATCTCCTTTGCCGCTAACGGAGCCCGTGGGGAGTAGCGCCACAATTTTTTCTGGCGATTACATTTGCTAAACATTCCTATTGCTCCGGCTTCAATTTTTTGATAGAATCAGACTGGATTACTTTACTATCGCATTTTTCGCGAAACTTCAACCTTCCTGTTCGACGCAAACTCTTGACGTCACCCTCAACTAACTAAAACACTCTCCTTCCGCGCTCTCTGGTAGGTCGGTCAAAATTCAACCGATTGCAATCGCTAACCCAGGGACAGACCCAGACGTTACATGCAGTAAAATGATGATTAAGCGGAGTGTATGGATGGCTAAGGCCAGGGCAGTTCTTTCCTAAAATCAGGGAAACTCCTCCTTTATCCCTTTAAACCCCATCACAGTGAGGCCGAAACCAAGGATTTTAAGCCAGTGCGTGTGATTCATTTGCCGTGACAAAGAACATTCAACTTGTCCCGGTTTTCCGCGAGTCCGAAGTTGAGTCATATTTCGGTGCTTTTGAGCGTATTGCGAGCGCCTTGCACTGGCCTAGAGATGTATGGGCAATTTTATTACAGTGTAAATTGAGTGGCAAGGCCTCCGAAGCATGCGCGTCTTTGTCAGTATCGGACAGTTTGAACTATGACTGTCTGAAAAGTGCTATTTTGCGTGCGTATGAGCTGGTGCCCGAGGCCTATAGGCAGCGTTTTAGAGGGCTTCGAAAATCATATAACCAGAGTTTTGTGGATTTTGCCCGTGAGAAGGGGCTGCTGTTTGACAGGTGGTGCTCTGCAAGTAAAGCGGGTACTTTTGAGGCGCTGCGGGAACTATTTCTTATTGAAGAATTTAAGAACTGTCTTTCTGAGCGCCTTATTGTGTATTTAAATGAACAAAAAGTGGCCACGCTCCAGCAGGCGGCTGTTTTAGCTGATGAGTTCTCTCTCACCCACAAGGCTGTTTTTAAGCGTGAACCTTTTCCCATGTCTGAGGAGAGGATCCCCGTTAGTCCTGCGACTACTTCAAGGCCTGAGCGGACAAAGCAGTGTTTCTTTTGTCATAAAAGTGGTCATATCGTCGCGGATTGTGACGCTTTAAAGCGCAAACAGCAGCCCACATCTAAACCGAAAAGTGTAGCGCTTATCAAGACGATCCCAGCTGCTATTCATACTAATGTGAGGCCTGTTTGTTCTCCCATTTCAGAGTGTGATGACTGTTTTAAGCCCTTCATTTTTGAGGCGTTTGTTTCCGTCCCAGGAGAGGTTAAGCATTCTGTTAAAGTTTTGCGTGACACGGGTGGCTCCCAGTCGTTTATTCTCTCGGGTGTCCTGCCTCTGGGCCCGCAGTCAGACTGTCATCTAAGCACAATAGTGAAGGGGATCGGCCTTAGTTACAGTGCCTTGCGAATGTATTCGGCCCCCTTGAACCTTTCAACATTTCGCCTCATTTCAGGCTTCAAACATAAAGATATTAAAATTAAATTTTTTGTCAAGAATCAACAACAAGTGGGACACAATCGTGAAGTGGAACAAAATTTATTGGATAATTTAAACTTTTTTAACAAATAAAAAACTGAAAAGTGGGGCGTGCAATATTATTCGGCCCCCTTGTGCTAATACTTTGTAGCGCCACCTTTTGCTGCAATTACAGCTGCAAGTCGCTTGAGGTATGTCTCTATCAGTTTTGCACATCGAGAGACTGGAATTCTTGCCCATTCTTCCTTGCAAAACAGCTCGAGCTCAGTGAGGTTGGATGGAGAGCGTTTGTGAACAGCAGTCTTCAGCTCTTTCCACAGATTCTCGATTGGATTCAGGTCTGGACTTTGACTTGGCCATTCTAACACCTGGATACGTCTATTTGTGAACCATTCCATTGTAGATTTGGCTTTATGTTTTGGATCATTGTCCTGTTGGAAGATAAATCTCCGTCCCAGTCTCAGGTCTTTTGCAGACTCCAACAGGTTTTCTTCCAGAATGGTCCTGTATTTGGCTCCATCCATCTTCCCATCAATTTTAGCCATCTTCCCTGTCCCTGCTGAAGAAAAGCAGGCCCAAACCATGATGCTGCCACCACCATGTTTGACAGTGGGGATGGTGTGTTCAGGGTGATGAGCTGTGTTGCTTTTACGCCAAACATATCGTTTTGCATTGTGGCCAAAAAGTTCGATTTTGGTTTCATCTGACCAGAGCACCTTCTTCCACATGTTTGGTGTGTCTCCCAGGTGGCTTGTGGCAAACTTTAAACAAGACTTTTTATGGATATCTTTGAGAAATGGCTTTCTTCTTGCCACTCTTCCATAAAGGCTAGATTTGTGCAGTGCACGACTGATTGTTGTCCTATGGACAGACTCTCCCACCTCAGCTGTAGTTATCTGCAGTTCATCCAGAGTGATCATGGGCCTCTTGGCTGCATCTCTGATCAGTCTTCTCCTTGTTTGAGATGAAAGTTTGGAGGGACGGCCGGGTCTTGGTAGATTTGCAGTGGTCTAATATCCTTCCATTTCAATATAATTGCTTGCACAGTGCTCCTTGAGATGTTTAAATCTTGGGAAATCTTTTTGTATCCAAATCAGGCTTTAAACTTCTCCACAACAGTATCTCGGACCTGCCTGGTGTGTTCCTTTGTCTTCATGGTTCTCTCTGCGCTTTAAACAGAACCCTGAGACTATCAAAGAGCAGGTGCATTTATACGGAGACTTGATTACACACAGGTGCATTCTATTTATCATCATCAGTCATTTAGGACAACATTGGATCATTCAAAGATCCTCACTGAACTTCTGGAGTGAGTTTGCTGCACTGAAAGTAAAGGGGCCGAATAATATTGCACGCCCCACTTTTCAGTTTTTTATTTGTTAAAAAAGTTTAAATTATCCAATAAATTTCGTTCCACTTCACGATTGTGTCCCACTTGTTGTTGATTCATGACAACACATTAAAATTTTATATCTTTATGTTTGAAGCCTGAAATGTGGCGAAATGTTGAAAGGTTAAAGGGGGCTGAATACTTTCGCCCGCACCACTGCATAATGTCTACATTGAGTCAAACTTGGTTAGTGGAGTTTTCCCTGTCGCTGTGCGCGACCAGTTTCCTATTGACGGGGTGGAGTTTATTATGGGGAATGATATCGCAGGTGGGGAAGTGTATCCCTCTCCGGAAGTGGTTTCTCGCCCCATTCTCAGCACTGGGAAGGATGAATTGGCTGAGGAACACCCCGAGATGTTTTCAGTGTGTGTGTTGACCCGCGCCCAGTCTAAAAAGTTGGCAGAGGAACAGGGTGATGTTGATCTGTGTGATTCTGTGCTTGCTCCTGTCTTCTCCGGTGTTCGTGCGCCCCCGTGTGGACGACCTGATGACCACGCCAGGACGAAGGCCAGCAGTGAGAAGTCAACCACCGCTATGTCCCCTCCACTCACCAGTGACGCTTTGATTGGAGGTCAAAAGTGTGATAAGACTTTGACCAAATGTTTTTCTGTTTTAGACAGCCCAGCTGACCAGACTCGGTTTTTTCTTGATGAGGGTGTATTGATGCGCAAGTGGGTCCCTCGGGACGGTAACGCTGACACTAATGACTGGTGTACTATTTTCCAAATAGTCGTTCCCGAAAATTACAGGCACCATGTATTGTCTCTGGCGCATGAACACCTGTGGTCCGGCCATCTTGGTGTTACCAAGACTTATGACCGCGTTCTCCAACATTTCTTTTGGCCAGGTCTGAAGGCTGATGTGGTTGCTTTCTGTAAGACCTGCATTACCTGCCAGTCCGTTGGGAAACCAAATCAGGTGGTACCGCCGGCTCCCCTGCGCCCTGTGCCTGCCCTTGGGGAACCCTTTGAGCATGTGATTATGACTGTGTTGGCCCTTTACCAAAAACCAAGATGGGTAATCAGTTCTTGTTAACCATTATGTGTGTTGCCACTCGTTTCCCTGAGGCGATCCCTCTGCGCAGAATCACGGCCCCTTCTATTGTTAAAGCCGTTACAAAGTTTTTTAGTACCTTTGGTCTGCCTAGGGTTGTACAGACTGACCAGGGAACTAACTTCCTGTCTTAAGTCTTCAAGGAGACCCTGCAGTCGTTCGGGGTTGCTCATTCTGTGGCCAGCGCTTATCACCCAGAGTCTCAGGGTGCGTTGGAACGGTGGCACCAGACGCTGAAATCTGTGCTGAGCAAGTTCTGTTTTGAGACAGGGAAGGACTGGGATGAGGGTGTTCCTTTCATGTTATTTGCTGTTAGGGATGCTACCCAAGAATCCCTCGGGTTCAGCCCCGCCGAACTTGTTTTTGGTCACGGCATGCGTGGGCCACTTAAAGTGCTTAAGGAACAGTTATTAACCATGCCGAAGTCGGTTGGGAGTGCCTCGGATTTTGTGTCAGACTGTAAGCAGCGGTTACAGCGGGCTACCGCGTTGGCTAGGGAAGCGCTCGTCTCTTCCCGGGCTGGAATGAAAAGGCGATTCGACAGAAAGGCAGTGATTCGGCACTTCAGTCCTGGGGATAAAGTCCTGGTGTTACTCCCAACCCTTGGTTCTGCCCTTTCGGCCCGTTTCTCTGGTCCCTATGTTGTTGAGAGGAAAGTGTCCGACACAAACTACCTTATCGCTACCCCGGAGCGGAGAAGGAAGACTAGACTTTGTCATGTCAACATGCTGAAGCCTCTCCTCGTAAGGGGGGAGCACAGGCCAGCACAGTCCATGCTAGCTGTGCCCTCTGTGTCAGCCGTGTGTTCGGAGAGTCTTGAGGATTTAGCAGAGCCGTGTGTTGCACAACAGAGTGGAAGGTTATCAACCTCTGAGTATATGTCCAGTTTAGGCGCCAATCTGGCTTATCTCAGTAAGGATCAGTACAAGGACATTCTGGCCCTTATTCTACATCTTACAACATGTGGGTTAGCATTAGCGTTCAGGTACAGCACCTAGCTGTAGTTCAGTGCTGAATCGAGCGAGTCATTTTTCACCACAAGTCAAAAGGAACTTGAGTTTGTGAAGAAGTGGGACTTCATTGAGCGAGGTCGAGGGGTTCACATCCAGAACCCACAGCCAGCCACAGGATTCACATTTGCATATTTTAACACCTAACCTAACCTATGCTGTGATGTTATCGTTGCCAAATCTGATTTCGGACAATGCAAAATGTGCTCAAGAAAAACCTTCTTATCACAACAATTTATTAAGTATATTTGAGAGTTTTTGAAATTAGCTCGTTTGCCGAAGTACAGCTCTCCAATCTATGTTTGTAGAGTCACTGAGCTTACAAATATTAACATAAAATTTAAAGGGTATGGCAAAAGGTTGTTTTGGTTTAATGCAGGGCGTCAAACTCATTTTGGACCGGGGCCAAAAGTATATGTGTTTTTTGACAGATGTGTTTTAAATGTGTTTGGATATTGTTTTCTAGGAAGTCAATGATTTATCCGGACACATTTTTACAAACTCTGAAACGTCCCTAAACCCCAAAAGTAACCGATTAATCATGTGTTTTAAAATAAGACATGACCAGATGTAGCCTCAAAAAATAAATCCCCTCCTGCTTTTCGTCAGTGTGCACCTGTCTGGGTTGTTATTGAGTCGGACTTTCTAAAACTCCAACAATGGCTGAACCAAAACCCCAAAAGTGTCAATTTCACATCTGCCACTCGCCCTGTTGTGGAAAAGAGAAAATCAGAGGAAAAGGCGTTGCATAAGAGGAGTCAGGACGCAGCCAGGGCTGTAGTTACTTAAAGGTAACTATCACTTCTAATCACATTTTTGTTAACATTTTAGAACAGATATATGGTTGTTTCCCTGAGGCCGTAGGCTTTAAAATGAAGCATAACACACCATCAATTCTACTGCGATAAAAATAGTTGAAATAACTTTCAAGGGTCACTAAAATGGTCTCACGGGTCTGATTTGGCCCATGGGCCTGAGTTTAACATGCAATGTTTAATGTAATGTACGAACCCAAGAGCCCAAAGAAGAAAATACACTACATGCCAAATTTGGTCATTTCCACAAAGATGTGGTTGCCTGGTTTCTACGAGGTTCAACAAATCCCAAGGACATGGACACAGCTGAGAAAAGTTAGTCCTGAAGTAGCCTGGACTTCAGGGCCTGGACTTCAGGGCCTGGAGTTCAGGACTTGGACTCGGCTCCATCTCGACTGAACAGTTGATTGAAAACATATTTAAACGTTGTTATTCTTTCTGAACAGCTGTTTCTTCAGAATCTCAATGTGAACGAAGACGTCACAGCTCCAGGGACACATTCACTGAACAGGAAATGTTTTGGAATCGACAGGGGAGAGATCCGCTCTGCATGGGCCGAATCACATCCAAATCCAAAAATCAATATATACAATTTGAATGAAACAAACGAAACACCTTCCCCTCTCCTCGCTAGTCAGTAATCATTTATTTATGTAGCGCCTTTGACGCAGCAGAGTCACAGAGCGCTTTAGAGAGCTCGTGTCAAGCCGTTTATCGTCACATAAACAGGATTGCTATTTTCTAAAGATGACATTGTTGAGTCGCTCTGGAGAGAAATCAAACGCCCACTAATGCAAAGCAGCTCAGGAATGTACAGGAAGGGGAGGCTTTTTACCAGAAGCAAAGAGAGACCGGAGAAAAAGACAGCAGAGAGAGACGATAGAGAGACACCATGAGAGACAACAGAGAGGGACCAGCGAGAAACCAGAGAGAGGATCCAGGGAGAGAGACCAGGGAGAGACAATAGAGGTACACCAGAGAGAGACTAGAGAGAGACAACAGAGATACACCAGAGAGGGACCAGGGAGAGACCAGCAAGAGAGACAGGGAGAAACCAGAGAGAGAGACCAAAGAGAGACCAGGGCGAAACCAGGGAGAGACCAGCGAGATACCAGTGAGATACCAGCGAGAGACCCGAGAGACCAGGGCGAGACCAGAGAGAGACCAGAGAAGTATGACCTCTTTCAGCAAGAGCCAATACAACTTAAGGGAACGAGGACAATTGTGAAAGAAATGAAGAACTTGAGTAAGAAAAAATCCCCATGCCTGGCCTTGTCTTAGCTACTTTTAGAATGATCTATTTATGTGTTTTGTGGATCTATTTGGATAGTTCCAGGAAATTAGCTCTAAACCAAGACGAGAATCTGACTTTCGACAGGTAGCATTGGGTCCGGGGAAGATGTTTCAGCTGCTGATGTCACACGAACAGAAATGATTTTAGCTGATTTCTTTTGTAGCGATAAACTGAACCAGTAGGCCTTAATGATAGAGCAGTAGCATTCAAATACTGTTTGAAATGATACCATCTTCAAACACTTAGCAAATTTACACTCAATTGTCCCCATAGTGACATGTCATTTTTATTTATTTATAAGGCGCACTTTACAGATCGAGGTCACCCAAAGCACTTTACAATGTTCAGAGTCAGATATTGTTCCAATCATTCCACACACGGTGATGACGGAAGCGAGTCCAGAACACACTGGACCATCAGCTCCAATCAACACCATCCATTCACTCTCTCATTTACATTCACACGCAGACACGGGGAGAACATGCAAACTCCACTCAGAAAAGCCCTGTTCCGACTGGGATTCAAACCCAGGACCTTCTTGCTGAGAAGCAAGAGTGCTAACCACTCAGCCACCGTGCCGTCCTCTGTATTTGACCCATCCTGTTATGCCACTAGAGCCAGAGGATTTCACCTATTGTTCATGATTTTAGTAGTATGTGAAACCAGAGCATGGGGAGAACATGCAAACTCTGCTTAGAAACGCCCTGTTCCGGAGATTTAAACTGGTCAGACAATGGACGTTCAAGAATATACTTTGTCTGGACTTTGAAGTTTCGTGTTGTTTTCTCTTTGAGTAGGACTAACATTTAAATGACATAAAGAGAGAACACACTATTGACACCTGGGGGATGGAGATTTCTGATCAGGGCCAGAAGAGAAGGGTCTGACCTTATTATCGTTTGAACTGAGAAAACCTGTTTATTTTAGAAGAAAGGGCTTCAGCAACCGCTAACACGAGTTTCTAAATATGGACAAAGTCTAAATCTCTGCTGGGTGTGTCAACAATGAACTGTAAGAGATCCTAGCTTTCAGAGCTCTACAGAACAAAGTAACGTCACAAAAGATGCAACGGACAATAAACACTCAGAGATTATCAGAAGAAAGGACCGCGCCCTGAGTCTGGACCGCAGTCTGGAGACCGCAGTTTGGAGACCGCAGTTTGGAGACCGCAGTTTGGAGACCGCAGTTTGGAGACCGCAGTTTGGAGACCGCAGTCTGGAGACCGCAGTCTGGACACCGCAGTCTGGACACCGCAGTCTGGACACCGCAGTCTGGACACCGCAGTCTGGACACCGCAGTCTGGACACCGCAGTCTGGACACCGCAGTGATCATCAGAGAACGGTGAAGTGCCAATGCATCGAGACCAAAACACAAAGATGAGAAGACAAAGACATGTGTGGAGGAGAGGGGGAAGTTCATGCGCCCCCTAGAGGAAAGACTTGTTGAAAGTACAACAGTTAAAAATATGTATTTTCTAGATCTAAATTCAATCCTGCTTTCGAACACAATATTGTGCATGACGGTGTCCCCCAAGGCTGAGCTTTGGCACCGCTTCGGTTCATGAGGAAACATGTGTAGGTCGTGCTCCTCTCATGGTCCTTTCCAGGTCCAAGTCCTGGCTCTGGTCTTCTGAGTTGCAGAGACCCTTCCTCTGGAGGAGTTCCAGTCCCTCAGGTCTTGTTCTCCGTGAGGGAAGGATGGAGCATCGAGAGGCGGTTGGTGCGGCATCTGCAGTGATGTGGTCGCTGTATTGGACTTTTGTTGTGAAGAGGTAGCAGCGTCTGCAATGGACCAGGACCAGGTGGAGGATACAAGCGGACCACATGAGATTCCCCTTTATTGTCCCCAGAGGGTCTTTCTAACTATCTGTCTATCTATCTATTCCGCCAGAGTGGAGAGGGATTGTAACCTGGCAAAAGCCAGATTGATGATTGTGTAGGACTCACAATGTCAATCTGGGACTTCTGCAGGAGAATCCTTTCAGTAAAGGAGGGGCACGCAGCAGAATACTTCAAGCTGATTGGGCGAAGTGACACTGTTTGCCCGCCTATAAGGTTTGACTTGAGCCAATCAGGGTAACAAATGAATATGTCGTCATCAACTTTGCCGTCCAGAAATGCACAAAGTGCCTCTCGCTGTTCATCTTTCAAAGAAGAAATGGGAGATTCTGCAAAAACTGACTAATGGCCTCAGCGTCCGTCCTGCTGGGTGGCCATGATTGTTTTGCCTCGGCTCGGCTCGGCTTGCATTCATCAAACCCGGATATCCCGCCCTAAACTTCAAGACTGCCCATGATTGGGTAGAACACCTAGATGTTGCTTGCAGAAAAGGTTAGAGGGATTGAGCAGACTTTAGAGAGGAGGAGCTCGGGGTAGACCCGCTGAGGTGGTGAGGGAGAATAAGTGGGAGGAGCTTACCTTGAGCTTGAGAACCTGAAATAAAACAGAAGAAAATAATCAATAATTTCACCTTTAATGTGTTCAAGTACATTTGTGTTATTAAGATATCACTACAAAGTTGGAGATTAAAATATAGACATTTCTGTCTGCGTTTATGGATTTATTCAAATAATTTATATTGTCTTTTAATGTTGTATTCTGCTTTATCCTATTTAAAGCCTACATTATACATGATTCTTCTCTTAACCAAATGTAGGAGCTACAGAAACCGAGACATGGCCTCAACGGTCTCCTGGTTTTGACTCACATCAGGTTCACTTTACATTCATGACTTTATGGGAAAATGTTTAATATCAACAATATATTATTCCACAATCAGACCAGTCAGGTTTGTTATTGTGAGGGCAGGTCCTGGCAGAAGTGAGCTCTCTCTCTCATCTACATCTCTGTCAAACGTTATCACATATTTACTGTAAAATAATGTGGAATATGGATCATCAAAGAAACACACACGACAGCAGTGAGTCAGAGCCAGGAGAGCGAGTCGATCCATGACCACACCATTGCTTTGGTCTCCATTTCTATTTGGTGTTATAGCACAAAACAGACTCTAATATATATTTGAAATGTCTAATTTGTAGTGATACATCAATATTTATTTGCCAATGCTGACATTTATTTAATTATTCATTGAGTTAATATTCTGGCAGTTCTGGTCGTCCATAATTTTCCCTTCAAGGAATTTAGTCAAAGCTGCAGCACGTAACTTTAGTCTCATAGATTACAGGTAGTTTGTCCAAAAGAAAGAGTCTTGTCACAGTGTACAGACCACTACATGCAGGTTTAGATTAGAAAACACTGTCTTCTGTGTCAGAAGGAGCCCAAAGTGTCACTATTTGACCCTTTGGGCTGAGGGAGGGTGGTCTTCTCTTTTTTCACGTTTTTTTTTGTCTGAAAAAGCTGGTCTAAAGATGTGACAGAGGCCAAACAAACATCCATGTGAAAACTACAGTAGTGACAGAAGCAAACTTTTTTGGAGACAGGAACTAGAGACATGGATTTGATTAGTATTAGGATTAAGATTGGGATTAAGATTAATAGATTCTTTAAATGTGGGGAAATGTCAGTGTTGCATTAACAGTTATGAATGAGGAGCACACAGCACAAAGGAAATGAACAATAACTCTTTACTGAAATAAAATACAATCTCTAAGAAACAAGTATAAAATCTCTATCATAAGGAAGACATTTCAATTTTCCAACTTTAGCATTGTAAGAAAGTAAGCACAAAATACCGTGTATTCTAGTGCAATAGATATCTAGTTGTATGTTTACATCCGTACATGTGAGCAGCATGAAGTTATGGGTAATGTTGGATATTGCTGTGGTTTGAAAGTTACATACACCAGCTTTAAACGTAGTCCAACACAGTGAATTCAAAGTGCCGTGTCCTTACCATGTGGCGCAGAGAGAGCCAGAGCACACCCCAGGAGCAGTCGGCAGAAGGACATGTTGCATGGTCTGTGTCTGCAAAGTGAAAAATGTGGGATGGACGGCCGCTCCTCCGGTTAAAGCTCCTCCGAGTGACGTTCCCGGCGGAGTTTCCCCATAAACGACTTTCCAAAGAAAAGCAGAGTGAAAACGAGGAGTGGATTATAGTTTTTGTTGTAATGTAAGAGATACGTCTGAAGCTGGAGGTTAACCCTTTGGGACCAGCTGTTTTGACATCTTATTTAGCAAGTGGGACACAATCTTGAAGTGGAACGAAATGTATTGGATAATTTAAACTTTTTTAACAAATAAAAAACAGAAAAGTGCAATATTATTCGGCCCCCTTGCGCTAATAGTTTGTAGCGCCACCTTTTGATGCAATTACAGCTGCAAGTCGCTTGGGGTATGTCTCTATCAGTTTTGCACATCGAGAGACTGGAATTCTTGCCCATTCTTCCTTGCAAAACAGCTCGAGCTCAGTGAGGTTGGATGGAGAGCGTTTGTGAACAGCAGTCTTCAGCTCTTTCCACAGATTCTCGATTGGATTCAGGTCTGGACTTTGACTTTGCCATTCTAACACCTGGATACGTCTATTTGTGAACCATTCCATTGTAGATTTGGCTTTATGTTTTGGATCATTGTCCTGTTGGAAGATAAATCTCCGTCCCAGTCTCAGGTCTTTTGCAGACTCCAACAGGTTTTCTTCCAGAATGGTCCTGTATTTGGCTCCATCCATCTTTCCATCAATTTTAGCCATCTTCCCTTTTCCCTGCTGAAGAAAAGCAGGCCCAAAGCATGATGCTGCCACCACCATGTTTGACAGTGGGGATGGTGTGTTCAGGGTGATGAGCTGTGTTGCTTTTACGCCAAACATATTGTTTTGCATTGTGGCCAAAAAGTTCGATTTTGGTTTCATCTGACCAGAGCACCTCCCCCCCCTCCTCCCCCATCTCGGACGCTCTGATCACAGCCTGGTCCGTCTGTCTCCGGAATACACACCAGTGGTGAGAAGCCTGAAGCTGAGGAAATCCGCAGGACCGGACGGGATCAGTCCCAGGCTGCTGAGGACCTGTGCAGACCAGCTCTCTGGGGTCCTCAGCTACATGTACAACCTGAGCCTCAGCCTGGAGAAGGTCCCTGTCCTGTGGAAGACCTCCTGTGTTATCCCGGTTCCTAGAACACCGCACGCCAAGGAACCGGCTCACTACAGACCAGTCGCACTGACCTCCCACCTGATCAAGACCATGGAGCGGCTCATCCTCACCCATCTCCGCTCCGTGGTCAGCCCCACCCTGGACCCGCTGCAGTTCGCCTACAGATCCAACATCGGAGTAGAGGACGCCGTCATCTACTTCCTTCAGCGGACGCTCTCCCACCTGGAGCCTGCAGGGGGCACTGTGAGGGTCATGTTTTTCGACTTCTCCAGCGCTTTCAATACCATCAGGCCGGCACTGCTGCAGGGGAAGATGGAGGACGCGGGAGTGGACAGTAGCCTCACCGCATGGACCATCAACTACCTCTCAGACCGACCACAGTACGTGCGGCTGCGCAGCTGTGAGTCTGAGGTGGTCGTCTGCAGCACTGGGGCCCCTCAGGGCACTGTCCTCTCACCGTTTCTCTTCACCATCTACACCTCATACTTCACACACGACACACACAGCTGTCATCTGCAGAAGTTCTCCGACGACTCCGCCATCGTGGGCTGTGTGTCTGAGGGGAACGAACTGGAATATCGGTCGGTTATCAAGGACTTTGTCGACTGGTGTGAGCGCAACCACTTGTGCTTGAACACCAGTAAGACCAAGGAGATGATCATCGACTTCAGGAGAAAACCACTTTCCCACACGCTGCTGAACATCCAGGGGGGAGGACATTGAGCTGGTGGACAGCTTCAAGTACCTGGGTGTTCACATTAACAATAAACTGGACTGGTCCCATAATACAAACGCCCTGCACAAGAAGGGCCAAAGTCGCCTCTTCCTTCTGAGGAGGCTGAGGTCCTTCGGAGTGAGCAGGCCCCTGCTCAGGACTTTTTATGACTCTGTGGTAGCTTCTGCCATTTACTACGCTGCCGTGTGCTGGGCCCCGGGCAGCACAGAGCGGGACAGAAACAGACTGAACAAGCTGGTCACGAGGGCCAGCTCCGCTCTGGGCTGCTCCCTGGACTCTGTGGAGGAGGTGAGGGACAGGAGGCCCCTGGACTCTGTGGAGGAGGTGAGGGACAGGAGGCCCCTGGACTCTGTGGAGGAGGTGAGGGACAGGAGGGTGCTAGCCAAAGCCACCTCCATCATGAACAATACCTCCCACTGCACAGGACTGTAGAGGAGCTGAGGAGCTCCTTCAGTGGAAGACTGAGGCACCCTCAGTGTAGGAAGGAGCGCTACCACAGGGCCTTTATCCCCACCGCTGTCAGACTGTACAATAAGTCACTTTAAATGATCACTGTGTGAAAACCTGCACTATTGACACTGTTTCCAATTGACACTTGTCACTTTTGTTGTACGTAATTATTGTCACTTTTATTGTACATATATCCTGCATGTAACAAGTTTGCACATTTCCTCCTTTTGCACAATCTGAGTGTATCTATCCATGCCAAATGTGACATGTAAATTTCTCCTATGTGAGATAAATAAAGCACATCTTATCTTATCTTATGTTTGGTGTGTCTCCCAGGTGGCTTGTGGCAAACTTTAAACCAGACTTTTTATGGATATCTTTGAGAAAAGGCCACTCTTCCATAAAGGCCAGATTTGTGCAGTGCACGACTGATTGTTGTCCTATGGACAGACTCTCCCACCTCAGCTGTAGTTATCTGCAGTTCATCCAGAGTGATTATGGGCCTCTTGGCTGCATCTCTGATCAGTCTTCTCCTTGTTTGAGATGAAAGTTTGGTTGGACGGCCGGGTCTTGGTAGATTTTCAGTGGTCTGATACTCCTTCCATTTCAATATAATTGCTTGCACAGTGCTCCTTGAGATGTTTAAAGCTTGGGAAATCTTTTTGTATCCAAATCCGACTTTAAACTTCTCCACAACAGTATCTCGGACCTGCCTGGTGTGTTCCTTTGTCTTCATGGTTCTCTCTGCGCTTTAAACAGAACCCTGAGACTATCAAAGAGCAGGTGCATTTATACGGAGACTTAATTACACACAGGTGCATTCTATTTATCATCATCAGTCATTTAGGACAACATTGGATCATTCAAAGATCCTCACTGAACTTCTGGAGTGAGTTTGCTGCACTGAAAGTAAAGGGGCCGAATAATATTGCACGCACCACTTTTCAGTTTTTTATTTGTTAAAAAAGTTTAAATCATCCAATACATTTTGTTCCACTTCACGATTGTGTCCCACTTGTTGTTGATTCATGACAAAAAATTAAATTTTTCTATCTTTATGTTTGAAGCCTGAAATGTGGCGAAATGTTGAAAGGTTCAAGGGGGCCGAATACTTTCGCAAGGTACTGTATATACAGTACCGCCTTTCACAGTCCAGAATCACAAAGCGGTTTACAAATTTGGGCATTTGTCTCTCCCTCCACACAGGGAGCAGGGTCGCCAGTACAGGAGGCGCATGCCAGACCTACTGTACATGTTTTTTAGAGGTAGGGAAAACCGGAGCACGCGGAGGAAACTTAACCAGACATGGGGAGAACATGCAAACTCCACTCAGAAAGGCCCTGTTCTGACCAGGATTCTAGCTGAGAGTGCTATCCACGGTGCCACCCGACCGTCTATGTTCCAACATTGTCCCACCACAGTCACAGACCACACTCCCCCCCGCCTTCTGTCTAGATTCTCTGTTTTCAAACTTTAAAAAGTTTCCAAACAACAGCTCGTGATGCTGATCTGATGCTGTGAGAATGCGTTTAATTTCATCAGTCAGACTCCAATCAAGGAGTCAAGTATGTAGGAAATAAATGACAACGGACCTAAGATTGAGCCTTGAGGAACTCCAGAAATAAGTTTACATATAGTTAATGAGGACTCCATCACTGCTCCTCCTCAGTCACAGACCTGCAGATGTGTTTTGCTCCACCCACACTCCTTACACTATGACGAATCCTCTGACTATTACATCATGGCCGGGACTGTTTTCCTCGGTTGAATCCCCTCCGACCAATCAGAGAGCGGGGGAGGCGGGTGTTGTAAGTCGGTGTCGGTGACGTCAAGAGTTTGACCAGAATTTGCTGGTTGTAGTTTGATAATGGCGGTGAATGCGATAGTAAAATAATCTGTTCTGGTTCAATCCAAACATCAAGATATCGGAGCAAGAGGAATGTTTAGTAAAGGTCATTGATGGAAAGATGTTGTGGCTCTACTCCCCTCGGGCTCCTCATGAGTCAAAATGTGTGTGAATCTCATGGTGCGTCCGAGGAGTGGCTGCAGATCATGTACTTTTACTTTGATTAAACCACACAACAGTGGCTCAGTTGGTAGAGCATTGGTCTCTGAGCCGAATGGTCGTGGTTTGATCCCCCCATGACCCATGTAATCTGCTCCCACTGAAGTCTACTGCTGTTGTCTCCCTGGGCAAGACACTTAACCCCACGTTGCCCGAAGCCCCCGCCGCAAGACCAAGGTCGAATCTTCGTCGAAGTAGCAGCCATCTTCCCGTGGACCCATCACCTGCAGGAGGACTTTGTGTAGCAGCTCTGATTGCCACTCCCTCAACCCAGAAATTGAATAATAAAAGGGATGAAAACGACATAAACCACACAAAATACAGGTCTGTTTCTGTGGATCATTAAAAACATTCCCACAAGACATGGGGAGCACATGCTAACCACTCAGCCACCGCACCGCCCTGTGATGTGGATCAAATAAAAACTTTGAGCTGTTTGGCAAAGAAATTTATTCCATCTTTCATTTTCCTTCATACATTTGGAACAGATTAATGTACAACTTTAATATTTATACACAAGGAACACAATGAAACAGGAGCTGGAGGCAAGGCCCGGCGTTTAATCGAGAGTTTCCAAATATCAGCCTGGATGGAGCTAAACACCACTCTATGTTGGACATGGAGAGAAGTGTTTGTATATCACAGTGTCAGACACAGCAGCAGCAGTGTTACACATTACATATGACTAAAATCAGTCAAAGAATGCTTACTCTTGATCTGTGTGTTTGGTCTCCAGATTCTACAGGCAAAAAAGTGCTCTTCTATGGACATTTATCATCGTCCCTCGTATGGACCAATACCATGTGTTTTTTATCATTGCATTTCCTGTGTTTGAACAGTTTGATTCTCTGATCTGTGTTGGCAAATTCAATGGTTTTGTAAAGTCCTCCGAGAGTTGTGATTTAGGACGATAAAAGAATACATTGAATTGAACTGAATTAAACTTGCGATCTGTAAGATTTTCATGTCAAGTCATCATTAAAGGGCCCTAATCTGTAAAAAGACATTTAAAAAACTGCTCTTTTCCAATACTTCGTTAACTGATAACAGTAGTTCAGAGATATATGCCTTTAAATCTTATTATTGTTTTCATTTTAATGTCCCGCCCTCCATCGTTTCAGATCTTACCGCGTTGAGCTAATCTCACTGGTAAAGTACCATGTGGCGCAGAACTAAAAAAGGTCTTGTTATGATTCTCAAATCATTAACGACAAAACAAGGAATAAAAGCAGGATTTCTATCTTTGTGAAAAAGGTGTTGGTTATAGATTTATTGTTGACAAAACTCTTATCTATTCAGCTGTTATGGTCCCAGCTGGATTCGTCTGCATATCTGGCAACCTGAGTCAGGGAGAGTGGGAGAGGCTGCAGTACCACTTTTGGCCACATTTTGACATATTTCTCCTGTAAGAGGATTTAACCAAGATCCAAATTTACTTCAATCAAGTTCAATAAAAAAACACTTGTTTGAATTTGTACTACTTTATATTTTTTAGTATTAGTTGTAGCCGGAGTAGAAGTATTAGCAGCAGTTCTTAGTAGCAGTAGTAGTAGTACAAAAATAGGCAAGGCAAGGCAAGGCAAGTTTATTTGTATAGCACAATTCATACACAAGGCAATTCAAAGTGCTGAACAAGAAAGCATTAAAATCATAAATAATCACAGAACATTAAAACGAAAGATAAAAATATAAAATCCCTCAGTTGTATGCACATCTAAACAGCACCGTTTTTAACCTGGTTTTAAACATTGTCAGAGAGGAGGCCTGTCTCACATCTTCAGGAAGATTGTTCCAGATTTTAGCAGCATGGATCTGAAAAGCAGCCTCCCCATGTTTAGTTCTGACTCTGGGCACTAACAGGAGTCCAGTCCCTGTGCTCCTCAGAGTCCGGGCTGGTTCATATGGGACTAACATGTCACTAATATATTTTGGTGCGAGGCCATGGAGAGACTTGTACACAAGCAGAGCTGTTTTAAAGTCTATTCTCTGAGCCACAGGAAGCCAGTGCAGAGACCTGAGAACTGGACTAATGTGGTCGTACTTCCTGGTTCTAGTCAGGACTAATATGGTCGTACTTCCTGGTTCTAGTCAGGACTCGAGCTGCTGCATTTTGAATGTACTGCAGCTGTTTTACAGCCTGTTTGGACAGACCTGTGAGCAGGCCATTGCAGTAGTCTAACCTACTGGAGACAAATGCATGGATAAGAATCTCCAAGTCTGCTTTAGACACTATGTTTTTTATCCTGGCAATGTTTTTTAGATGGTAAAAAGCTGCTGATGTTACTGATTTGATGTGGCTATTAAAATTTAAGTCTGAGTCCAGTATTACCCCTAGATTTCTGACCTTGTTTGAAGGTTTTAGGGAGAGAGACTGTAGATGACAGATGACGCTCTCTCTTTGTTTCTGGGGACCAAAGACAATCATTTCAGTTTTGTCTGCGTTTAGCAATACTAGTAGAGTAGTAGAAGTAGGAGTAGTAGTAAGTAAGTAGTAAATAAAGTAGTAGCAGTACTTGTAGCAGTAGTAGTAGTAGTAGTAGTAGTAGTAGTTTCAGCCTAATACATAGATGGACATGGCCAGACCACAGAGATACAGTAACTGGCTCAGATGGGCTGCAATCTTCTCCCCGTGGTCGAAAATACTGTTTTTATCCTCTGTGGTTTCACTAGTAGGAGTAGTATGACGAGTAGGAGTAGTATCACGAGTAGGAGTAGTATAAAAACTATCGTGAGTAATCTCAGGAGTAGTAGTATCAGTAGTAGGAGTAGTATCAGTAGTAGGAGTAGTAAAAAAACTATCGTGAGTAATCTCAGGGGTAGTAGTATCAGTAGTAGGAGTAGTATCAGTAGTAGGAGTAGTAAAAAAACTATCGTGAGTAATCTCAGGAGTAGTAGTATCAGTAGTAGGAGTAGTAAAAAAACTATCGTGAGTAATCTCAGGAGTAGTAGTATCAGTAGTAGGAGTAGTAAAAAAACTATCGTGAGTAATCTCAGGGGTAGTAGTATCAGTAGTAGGAGTAGTATCAGTAGTAGGAGAAGTATAACAACTATCGTGAGTAATCTCAGGAGTAGTAGTATCAGTAGTAGTAGCAGTAGTAGTAGGAGTACAGCTGAATCCCATGTCGGGGTCTTGTCCCGTGGCCTTCACAGTCACAAAGTAGTCGTCCTCCAGAGACGTCTGGTTCTGGATCCAGTCCTGGTACAGAGACACCTGGGCGTAGACTCCTGGTGCCTTAGCCCTCGCACAGCCTTCGCCCAAGCTGACCACGCCCACCGCCACCCAGGCCCCGCCCTCCTTCACCACCAGGGGGCCTCCGGAGTCGCCCTGTAAGTAAATATGTAATCTTTATTTATACAGAGACCAATGCGCTTTTCCTGTGAACCAGATCATCAGCATACCCTACAGACATTTAGCACGAGGGTTCTCTCTCTCTCTGGTCTCTCTCTCATTTGTCTGGTCTCTCTCTCCTCTGTCTGGTCCCTCTCTCTCATCTGTCTGGTCTCTCTTTTTGGTCTCTCTCATCTGTCTGGTCTCTCTTTCATCTGTCTGGTCTCTCTCTCATCTGTCTGGTCTCTCTTTTTGGTCTCTCTCATCTGTCTGGTCTCTCTTTTTGGTCTCTCTCATCTGTCTGGTCTCTCTTTTTGGTCTCTCTCATCTGTCTGGTCTCTCTTTCATCTGTCTGGTCTCTCTCTCATCTGTCTGGACTCTCTTTTTGGTCTCTCTCATCTGTCTGGTCTCTCTTTCATCTGTCTGGTCTCTCTCTCGTCTTTCTGGTTTCACTCGAGTCTCTGTCTGGTCTCTCTCTGGTCTCTTGCCTTAAAAAATGTTTTAATCAAACCTTTTCCGATCTCTGGACTATTCTAACACATCTATACATTTCAAAGCACACTTTTTCGTCCAAAAATAATTACTGTTTATCAAGATTTAAAGTGATAGTCTGTAACTCTAAATGAATTACAAGTTTTAAGAATTGTGTTCAATTGACCTCCTGGCCTTAAATGTTGATATAAAATAAGTCATTTTATTAATTCTAATATTACAGACAAGTCCCGCCTTCCCTTCTCTTAGCTATAGCTCAGAATCCACGAGTCCGTCCAGTTTAACCAATCGAGTCGTGCCAAGGGCTGTCAATCATCGGCGCTGATATCCATAATCATTTATATACTGAACCTATATCCATAATCATTTATATACTGAACCTATATCTATAATCATTTATATACTGAACCTATATCCATAATCATTTATATACTGAACCTATATCTATAATCATTTATATATGAACCTATATCCATAATCATTTATATACTGAACCTATATCCATAATCATTTATATACTGAACCTATATCCATAATCATTTATATACTGAACCTAATATCCATAATCATTTATATACTGAACCTATATCCATAATCATTTATATACTGAACCTATATCCATAATCATTTATATACTGAACCTATATCCATAATCATTTATATACTGAACCTATATCCATAATCATTTATATACTGAACCTATATCCATAATCATTTATATATGAACCTATATCCATAATCATTTATATACTGAACCTATATCCATAATCATTTATATACTGAACCTATATCTATAATCATTTATATACTGAACCTATATCTATAATCATTTATATACTGAACCTATATCCATAATCATTTATATACTGAACCTATATCCATAATCATTTATATACTGAACCTATATCCATAATCATTTATATACTGAACCTATATCCATAATCATTTATATACTGAACCTATATCCATAATCATTTATATACTGACCCTATATCCATAATCATTTATATTCTGAACCTATATCCATAATCATTTATATACTGAACCTATATCCATAATCAATCCAGAGTTTTTCCTTGTCGATGCAGGAGGGTCTTGTCGCCCCCTAGTGGACATCAAACTGTAATGTCAGTGCGGCCCCCACCGGGAGTCTGTGCAAATATGTTATACATTGTTTTAAAGCTAAATGTTTACAAGTAAGTAACCACAGCCTTCATTTGACCAAAACTATTGAACCCTGAATGAAAAAAGAAATAATTCAAAGTACATTAGAGTACAAGGTACAAGGTACATAATAAAGTACAAAACATTATTAAACCCAGTCTATGATACAAAGCCTCATTGATTTTGTCCAGTTTTATTTTAGTCTAAGTTGGACTCATTTTGTTCATAGAAATATGTGAAACTCATTTTCAATTATTTTGAACTCGGTCAAATACCTTCACGATGATAAAAGTCAAAAGTCACAGATACAAACAAATATTTTTTTTCATGGATGAACGATTCATGGTCAGAACCAAGTGGATCAAGTGAAAATCCACCGGAGGAATGCTAACTTTAAAAAAAAAGAAGCTAACTAGAGCAGAGAAATTGGTCCAAACCAAGCGGCTGCTCCACCTTGTGACCCGTCCTGCTCCACCCAGAGACTACTCCACCTCTGCTGCTGTGACCTGTCCTGCTCCACCCAGAGGCTACTCCAACTCTGCTGCTGTGACCTGTCCTGCTCCACCCAGAGACTACTCCACCTCTGCTGCTGTGACCTGTCCTGCTCCACCCAGAGGCTACTCCACCTCTGCTGCTGTGACCCGTCCTGCTCCACCCAGAGGCTACTCCGCCTCTGCTGCTGTGACCCGTCCTGCTCCACCCAGAGGCTACTCCAACTCTGCTGCTGTGACCTGTCCTGCTCCACCCAGAGACTACTCCACCTCTGCTGCTGTGACCTGTCCTGCTCCACCCAGAGGCTACTCCACCTCTGCTGCTGTGACCTGTCCTGCTCCACCCAGAGGCTACTCCACCTTTGCTGCTGTGACCCGTCCTGCTCCACCCAGAGGCTACTCCACCTCTGCTGCTGTGACCTGAAGGGCTGTTGCTGATTATTACTACTTTTTTATCTTATTAGAATGATCAATTTTGTTGTTTATTTTTGCTGCTTCTGGACACCTGACTTTCTTCTATGGGGATCAATAAAGTATCTATCTATCTCACACAAACACGTGATAAATATACCCCTTAATGCGGCTCAGCTTCCCCCAAATTCTCATGAGAAATGGAGTTAGAGACCCCTGCTCTACCCAGCCCAGTGTGACAGTGCCTCTGACCTGGCAGGAGTCCTTCCCGCCCTCGCTGAGTCCCGCACACAGAGTGTCCGACTCGGGGAGGAGCGTCGGGATGTAGCATTGGCACTGGTTATCTCCCACGATGGGAACGCTGACCTCTTGCAGAGCGGAGGGAAAGGATCCGCCTGAAGAAACAACCAGCAACACCACAGTTCCACCATCAGTCCAGACGTAAGACCATGAGATTTCACATTCATAGACATTGGTCTCTGTGTTTGAGCTGTTTGATTCTCTGATCTGTGTTGGTGAATCGACGGTTTGTGAAGTCCTCCAAGATAACTACTGTTGTGATGTAGGACTTCACAGAAATACATTGAATCGTTATGAGAAAAAAGAGAGAAAAGTTGCACCCACCCTCCTCAGTGACGCCCCAGCCGGCGACCCAGGCCATGTCTCCGGTGTGAAGGACACTTCCACCGGCCGCAATACACACGGGCTGGATGTACTGACTACAGACACACACGCACACACAGACACACGCACACACAGACACACACACACACCGACACACACGCACACACAGACACACACGCACACATAGACACACACGCACACACAGACACACACGCACACACAGACACACACCCACACATTTACAATAAAAATACGTCTCTTTTGAATGCACTGGAAACAGCCGCATGTCCGAAGCATCTCTGAAATACTGTAGTTGTTTTATGTTTTACAATCGTTTTTTTTCTTGCTTTTTTGAGCTGTTTGAATTTCCATTGGTTTGAATTGGAGCAGTCAAAATGACTGCTCTAGTAGTTCTAGTTGTTTAATAATTGTAGGAGTCCTAGTTTTAAACGCTGTAGATTTTCAAAGTTTGCAGAAACTGCCACCATTTTGTGCAGACGGGGCAAGGTCACATGACACACACCATAACAACAGCACGTCAGTTCCTGCTGCTACTGGACACTTGTATTTCTCTTAAGGGGGTCAGTAAAGTATCTGTCTATCTTAAAACAAGATTTGCCATAAAAAAGTAATACATTTCCTACATCTGTGTTTGAAATAAGACTAAATCTGATTGTTCCATTGTTTTAATAAAGATAAATCTACTTTATCCATCGTAGCCCAACATTCTGTCGACTGTAGCTCTCTGTCACTTTTGTCTCGTCAAAGTAGCTCTCCCAGGGAAAAGGTTGGAGACCCCTGGAGTAATGTATGCTATACTTTGTAGTAGAAGAAGGACCTGCATAGAAAGGCCGCCTGAGGCCCTGTGCTCAGTGAGTGTTGGTACCTGAAGGAGACCGGCTGGTGCAGCTTCAGCAGTGCCATGTCGTGGCTCACGTCATCGTTGTTGTATTGGGGGTGGAGGATCATCTGCGCCACCTCCCGCTGCTTCTGGTTCGGGTTCGGGTCGGAGAAGTTGTGTCGACCCAAGAAGACCTGGATTGTGAAGTTCTCTCTGAAGGCTCTGGACACAACACAACACAACACAACACATGTCACAACACAACACATCCAGTTTAGACCAATTCCAGGTTCCAGGAGCCAGTGATCGACCAGTTATAGAGAAATGAAATCTTCTTCTCAGAATTCTTAGGATTGTGATATTATTTTGTAATTTGCCGTAAAACCAATCAACACTTGCAGCCTCCTTGACCAGCACCTATGCTCCCTCAGTCTGATACCGTGATCAGACTGTATGATGGAGCCCCCCAGGGCACTGTCCGCCGTTCCTGTTCACTCTGTACACCTCTGATTTCCAGTACAACTCCGGGTCCTGCCACCTGCACAAGTTCTCTGATGACTCTGCGGTGGTGTATCAGAGATGGACAGGAGCTGGAGTACAGGACACTGATTTCAGACTTTCTTGGTCTGAAGCTAACCATCTGCTCCTGAATGTGGACATGTCCAAAGAGCTGGTTGTTGACTTCAGGATGAGGAGGACGCCAGTAGAGCCCATCACCATCCAGGGCACAGAGGTGGAGATGGTGGATGCTACAAGTACCTGGGAGTCCACGTGAACAGCAGACTGCACTGGAAGGAGAACTCCAATGCTGTGTACAAGAAGGGCATGAGCAGACTCTATTTCCTGAGGAAGCTCAGGTCTGTGCAGTAAACTGCTGGAGGTCTTCCACCTGTCTGTGGTGCCCAGCGCCCTTTTCTACACTGTGGTCTGCTGGGGAGGCAGCACCACCAAAAGGGACCACTCCCAGATTGACAAGCTGATCTGTAAAGCTGGACAGATGATTGGCTGTCAGCTGGAGACATGTATACAGTGAGAGACAGAAGGTCACTGCAAAACTGTTCTCCATCATGGACAACCCAACAGGAGCTCCTCCTCCAACAGACTCCTGCAGCTGTGGACTATAGAGGAGCACAGGAGCTCCTCCTCCAACAGACTCCTGCAGCTGTGGACTATAGAGGAGCACAGGAGCTCCTCCTCCAACAAACTCCTGCAGCTGTGGACTATAGAGGAGCACAGGAGCTCCTCCTCCAACAAACTCCTGCAGCTGTGGACTATAGAGGAGCACAGGAGCTCCTCCTCCAACAGACTCCTGCAGCTGTGGACTATGGAGGAGCACAGGAGCTCCTCCTCCAACAGACTCCTGCAGCTGTGGACTATAGAGGAGCACAGGAGCTCCTCCTCCAACAGACTCCTGCAGCTGTGGACTATAGAGGAGCACAGGAGCTCCTCCTCCTACAGACTCCTGCAGCTGTGGACTATAGAGGAGCACAGGAGCTCCTTCCCCAACAGACTCCTGCAGCTGTGGACTATAGAGGAGCACAGGAGCTCCTCCTCCAACAGACTCCTGCAGCTGTGGACTATAGAGGATCACAGGAGCTCCTCCTACAGACTCCTACAGCTGTAGACTATAGAGGAGCACAGGAGCTCCTCCAACAGACTCCTGCAGCTGTGGACTCTAGAGGAGCACAGGAGCTCCTCCTCCAACAAACTCCTGCAGCTGTGGACTATAGAGGGGCACAGGAGCTCCTCCTACAGACTCCTGCAGCTGTGGACTCTAGAGGAGCACAGGAGCTCCTCCTACAGACTCCTGCAGCTGCGGACTATAGAGGAGCACAGGAGCTCCTCCTACAGACTCCTGCAGCTGCGGACTATAGAGGAGCACAGGAGCTCCTCCTACAGACTCCTGCAGCTGTGGACTATAGAGGAGCACAGGAGCTCCTCCTACAGACTCCTGCAGCTGCGGACTATAGAGGAGCACAGGAGCTCCTCCTACAGACTCCTGCAGCTGCGGACTATAGAGGAGCACAGGAGCTCCTCCTACAGACTCCTGCAGCTGCGGACTCTAGAGGAGCACAGGAGCTCCTCCTACAGACTCCTGCAGCTGCGGACTATAGAGGAGCACAGGAGCTCCTCCTACAGACTCCTGCAGCTGTGGACTATAGAGGGGCACAGGAGCTCCTCCTACAGCTCCACAGTGAGTAGTACAAGAGCAGAGGCCACACTCCTCCTGCTGTAGTCAGCGCTCTGTGACAGACACATTTATCTAAACAGTCGTAAACTTTATCTGCTTTGTCCTTGTGTATATTGTATATTAACAGATGTGTAGTATCCTATTGTCTCTGTATTTTATACTGTAAATGTGTACATATTCATAGATATGCATTATCTTGAGTACTTCTATCCAGATTATCCTATTCTCACAATATTATCGTATTTTTATTCTTATTTTCAGTTTGTTACTTTATTGTTATATTTTTTGTGGAATACTATGCAAACTACTGTGACAACGCAATTTCCCTTGTGGTTCCATAAAGTCTGTCTAAGTCTAAGTCCAACCACATTGGAACACATGTGCAAAAGTCTCCAGTGTTCACCAGACAAGTACATAAATAAATGTTCTTCACGTGTGCAAAGCAGCGTTAGACACGTCTGAACTCTGGAGGCGTTGGAGGAACTGTCATACAGAGATTTGTAAATATTATCAGTTTGTGTGCTGTTTGTCTCTTTTTGTTTCTATTCTATATGGACCTTCATGTCTGAATTAAAAGATTAGATAAAAAAGTACAGGATACAAATTGTCTCTGTGAATTTGACTGCAATTGAAAGTACATTGTTTTTCACTCTCTTCTTCTCCGTCTGTGTCCCCTGTTTCACATGTCTGAGGTCTGGACGCCTCTTCCGTACATACTAGGCCCAAACCAAACAGATATAAAAGGGGACATTTTTTGACACTAACTCGTTACAAGATACACAAAGATTTAACAGAACATAATAATAACCCGAGGAGAGATGTTGAAGAGAGAGAGAGAATCCTCAAGACTAGGGATGCACTGATACCACTTTTTTTAATACAGATACAAGTACGAGTAATCCTTATTGGAGTACTTTCCGATACCGAGTACCGTTACGTGTACTGCACATAGACTGTAAATATTACTGCATTGTGTTTTCCAAGGAATTCATAAAACCAACATTTTATTTCTCATTTCAACAAGAAAATGCTTTAAAATGCAAACATTTTAGCAATAGATTTAACAATCAACGAAAAGGGCCACTGTCATATTCCACTCATACAAATGCTATGTTGTAGAGTTGGTTTCTCCCGTGGTAGCTCCGTGCTAGCTCCGGTGCTAGCTCCGGTGCAAGCTCCGGTCTTATACTCCCGGTGGTGGTGAGTTTTCAGATGTTTGAACAAGCTGCTGATGTTATAAGTGTTTGTTTTGGACCTCGTGACAGTTTTACACAACACACAATTCGCTTTACTCTTGTCACTCGTTTACTTAAAAAAAAACTGCCATACGGCAAAGATCCGCTTGCTGCTAGCTTTCCCGCTACTGGCTAAGCTAAGCTACTGGCTAAGCTAAGCTAGCGACAAACGCTTTCTCGCTGTCTGCTGTCGTGACGCTAATGTAAAAATGTGGGTATCGGCTGCGGGTATTGGGTCCTATGGTATGAGTACGAGTACGAGGACAAGCCTATGGTATTGACCCAACACCCGATACCAGTATCGGTATCGGTGTATCCCTACTCCAGACCTCAGCCATAGGCCTCATCTTCTTGCTGCATGCAGACGGATCAAATCCACATACCAAGAGAGCTCACTACCTCCCCAGCTCTTTATAACCTGGCCCTGAGGTCACTCTCAGGTCCCACAGGATTGGTCAGTGGGTGTCAGCCAGGAGTCAGTTGACCCCCCATGGAGGGGGGGCACGGACATCAGATAAGGGGGAAAATCTATACCTGTGTGTTAGAACTGAGAAAGACCGACTTAAATCAAAGTTCACATCTGTGGAACAATTTTGGCTCAGACAGACGGACAGACAGACAGACAGACAGACGGCCAGACAGACACAGACAAACACAGACAGACAAACACAGACAGACAGACAGACAGACAGACAGACAGACAGACAGACAGACAGACAGACAGACAGACACAGACAGACAGACACAGACAGACAGACAGACAGACAGACAGACAGACAGACAGACAGACAGACAGACAGACAGACAGACAGACAGACAGACAGACAGACAGACAGACAGACAGACAGACAGACACAGACAGACAGACAGACAGACAGACAGACAGACAGACAGACAGACAGACAGACAGATCCGTTGAACACTCACTCTGGCACTGATGGGGGGTAGAAGTATGGAAATATGCAGTGTGCGGCGGTCAGAACCCACTGGTCATTGATCAGGGCCCCTCCACACCGGAATTCAAAGTTCACATACATCGCCACCATCCAAGGCCAGGACCCGGGGGAGGCCTCCTGTCCCCCTACGATCCGGGGGCTGAGGGCGGCTTGGCCACACGCTGACATCGCTAGAATGGAGAAATTACCCCAAAATGTTTAGTTTTTTTCACTGGTTTTATTATATTAAAGTGACTCACCACCTGCAGGAGGATCAGTGAGGGGGTGGTGCTATGTGACTTGGGTGCAGCTCTGACCCCCTCGACCCAGAAATGGATTAAGGGGAAGAAAATGGATGTATGGATGGAGTATTAAAGGAACAATATGTAAAAATCTGGCCAAAAGTGGTACTGCTGTCACAGTCCATGTTTTGTAGTCCTCTCCCACTTTCCCTGACTCAGGTTGCCAGATACACACAATTGTGTATCTCTTACATTGCCATGAGCCGTGCCAATGTTGAATTAATTTTTATTTTTTTATTTGGACATTTGAGTTGAGAAAAACTAATTTAAATCAATTTAATTATACATAGATTATGCAAAACAAATAAGCAATTGATGTCACATCTCACATCAAAAAGACACTATCAATATTTTAATTGGGTACATGTGGTCTCAAATTATTCTTTTTACAATTAAGCTTTAACTGGGGTGAAAGCGCTATGACTTAACCATTAGACCACCGTTGCATATAATAAAAGTATGAATCAAGGAAGGTACTTTAACCGTTCATGAAGAACGCACTCAACGCAGCAAGTTTGACATCACACAAAAACTTGTATCTGCTGTCTCAATTTTTCAAAGGCGTCCCGATATAAATCCTCGTTTTAGTTTGAGGGTCGTAAAACTAATTTTGATATTCAAATATCTCTGAACTACTGTTACAGATTTAATAATGACTTTTGAAATATTGGGGCCATTTAATGATGACTTGACATGAAAATATTACATATTGCTACATTAAAGAGGTTTTTACCTTTACCTTCATTCTTGATTGAAATTCAGCAAAAACATTTTGTTGAAAGGCTAATGCTAACAGTAAACAGTGTGTTGCTATGGTTACTGGCTCTCGCTCTTCTCTGGTGGGAAAACAAAAAGACCACATTTTGTGATGGAGAAAAACGAGCTCTCACACTGGGTATCCTGGGTTCAAATCCTGGTCAGAACAGGGTCTTCTGAGTGGAGTTTGCATGTTCTCCATATTCTGGAGTGAGAGACAAATGCCCACAACAATTGTAAAGCGCTTTGTGACCCTGGTCTGTGAAAGGCGCTGTATGAATATAGATTACTTAAGTACGTACAAGCTGGGGGGGTAACTTAGTCATTAATAACATATTGTTTGTTCAACAGAAAGTGTCTTGTCACAGTAAACGCTGAAAACAACCTGCTGCCTTCGTCTTACTAGAAAACATGTCCTTGGTGTCAGACAGATCCCTGTGAGTGGCTGAGACAGGGTTAAACACAAAAGCTGCGTGACTCTCGAGGGAAGAATGTGTGTGACTTACCCACAACTTCAGAATCAGCACCTGAGGACAGAAGAGAACATGATAACATCACATTGTACTTCTGCGGCTTTAGCAGGAAGTGTGACCGTGTCAGTAAAATACAATTTCTTCGTGATTCAGAAAAGGGACAAAAAACCCCACCTAGGAACATTGTTGTGATTCCAAGTTGAAGTTGACAGATGTCGTGGAATGTCTCTACGTAAGCAACGCCAAGTTTATTTGTATAACACAATTGACAGTGCTTAACAAAACAAGATAAAAACAGTCACACAAGGCAATAAAATTATAAATAATCACAGAACATTAAAAAGAAAGATGAAGATATAAAATATCTCAGTTGTAGCACAGCTAAACAGAACTGTTTTTGACCTGGATTTAAATATTGTCAGAGAAGAGGCCTGTCTCACATATTCAGGCAGATTGTTCCAGATTTTAGCAGCCTCCCCATGTTTAGTCCTGACTCTGGGACCAGCAGGAGTCCGTCGCTGTGCTCCTCAGAGTCTGAGTTGGTTCATAGATTAGCATCTGTGATCCTGCGTATTAACTGAGCTAACAGCACTGAGACTTTGCCTGCGTCAGTGTTCAGCCGGATATCGTTTGTAACCTTAACAAGAGCAGTCTCAGTGCTGTGGTGGGGTCTAAAGCCGGACTGAAACATATCAAATGAGTTGCTGATTATAAGAAATCTAGTAAGCTGTAGGTAGACAACTTTCTCAAGGACTTTCCCCATAAATGGCAGATTTGAGATGGGACGATAGTTGTTAAGTACCGTAGCATCGAGACTGCTCTTTTTTAGCAGGAGCCTGATGACTGCCATTTTCCGGGCCTTTGGGAATATTCCAGAATGAAGGGACATGTTTACTATCTGTGTGAGTGAAGGTAACAGACTGCTCAGAACAGACTTCAGAAATCTAGTGGGTAGTACATCCAGGCTGCATGTGGAGGAGCTCAAACTGGAGATTATCTCTTGGACAGTTTGATCATTTACAGGTGCAAAGTAAGTTAGCTCAGAGAGCCTTTCTGGCTGTTGGATGGTTATCTGTGGATTGGAGACAATGGCGTTTTTGATGCCTTGAACCTTGTCATTGGAAAAAATAGCAAACTTGGTACATTTACGTTTTGAAGTTCGTTCTAAAGGCAGCTGAATGGGGGGTGGTTCTGCTGCATAAATATGGTCCCACATGGTCCCTGTGTCAGATGTATGTTTATGTCCACATGGTAAGCACAAGATAAATTAATAGCTCTATACTGAAGTAAAATAAAATCTCTAACTTTAGCAGAATAAAGAAGCAAGTATAAAATCTAACTTTAACATAAGAAAGAAGCAAGATGAGGGAGATTGGATAAATAATAATAATTCATCCAATCTCTTTTCAAACCAAATGTGTGTGATTTATTGTGAATAATTGTGAGTAATCTATGACATGAATTTGATTGATTGCGATAAAACATTGAAATAGTTTGACAGCACTATTAGATATAAGTAAGTATATTCTCTTCTCACCTGTCGTCATGGCGATAAGAACAAAGCAGAGAACGGTGTGTGTGCGCTCCATGATGGATCTGCTGCTCTGTCTTGTGTCTTGTGTGTAAAACTCCCATCGCTCATAGTTTTAGTTCACGCGCCGCGGCCGTGGACCGGCACCCGGTCCGACACGTTTGGCGGCTTCTGTCATCGTAATAATAATCACAGCTGGGAATGTGCTTTTGACTCATGACCTGTGGAGTCACACCTGGGAGAAGAAAAGGCTGTCAAATACTCTTGTTCATATAACAATAAAAATAAAATTAATAAAAATAAATATAATAATAATGCGTTGGTTTCATATAATGCTTTTCTGGACACTCAAAGACGCTTCACATGTCATTATTCATTCTCTCCAAACACGGTGGTGATAAACTACTACTGCAGCCACAGCTGCCCTGGGGCACACTGACAGAAGCGAGGCAACCAGTCTGTGCCATTGGCCCCTCCAGACTAATTCTAATGTGGGGGAAGTGTCTTGCCAAAGGACACAGCCACAGTTTGGCACTTTACAGCCGCAGCCGTCCCACTGTGGCACCGGTGTATACAGTATCATGTATGTCATTTATAAACATACATACTGTACCTCCTTATCGGTTTAACACCAGGATTCTGAAACCATGAGGTCTCCCAGAGCCGTCATTTTGACTGCTCCCATTCAAACCAATGGGATTCTGAGAAATTTAACCTAAGAATGTTTAGATTTTACCAGATTCATTCCTCAACCAATGGACTTAGACTTTATTGATCCACAGGGAAATTGCGTTGTCACAGTAGCTTGCATAGTACTTCACTTTTTTTTTGAATGAATGAATGTTTATTTTTGGTCAGTTGTTTGATTAATAACATATCACATTCACTGACTATATTACAACAAAAAATAGGATTGGGCTGAAGCTGACGTGATCCCAACCTGGCATCACGTCACATACAGGTCATTAGCTAACACTGCAACTATATAAACAAAAACAAATAAGTACATATTACCGATTTAAAACATAAAATGTATATTTGCTAGAACAACGTATTTTTTTCACTTTTCTTTATTTGTTAATCTTAGAGAATCTGAAAATAATAAAATAATAATTTGCTGGACCCTCTCTCTATCTAGCTTTCTCCCGTTTGGGGCAACCGGGAAAAAGCTCGTATCCCAGGGCGATCATCGGCAGGTGTCTCTGATTCACGGACTGAGAGCGGATCCTGAACGAGGCCAGGAAGAACCCCGTGCAGCTGTTTGGGAAGTCCATTTGCTTGGTCCCGGATTACAGTGATGCCACCTCCAAGAGAAGACGACCCTGCTGCCCGGGGATGGACCAAGCTCGGAGCGCTGGCTTTAGAGCGTTTCTGTTGTACCCAGCAACAATGAAACTTGAAAAAGGAGGTGAACAACACTTCTTTGACAACTCATCTGATGCGCTGGACTTCATCTCCAAGAAATAAATCCACGGGATCTGCTTATTGGTGAGACTCATGGATCTATCATGTAAGACTCCCATCAACAAGCTGACACTTTTTGTTTTGTTTACTTCCGTACGCGATGACGCTACCGGCCGGTGATACGACACGCCTACATCACCGATACCACCTGCAGCCGTCTGAAATCATCTGCCTTGAATGAGGAAATGATGGACATTAAATAGACCAGAGTAAACAAACACATATCTACTCTAGATATTACAGAGATGAAGTCAACATTGATACGTGTTGCTCAAGGCTTCTCTTTACGCGTCCTAACGCTGATACAACTCTGATATATGTAATAATCTACTCTGATATATGTAATAATCTACTCTGATATATGTAATAATCTACTCTGATATATGTAATAATCTACTCTGATATATGTAATAATCTACTCTGATATATGTAATAATCTACTCTGATATATGTAATAATTTACTCTGATATATGTAATAATCTACTCTGATATATGTAATAATCTACTCTGATATATGTAATAATCTACTCTGATATATGTAATAATCTACTCTGATATATGTAATAATCTACTCTGATATATGTAATAATCTGCTTCTGACCTGAACATATGGTCCTATGACCCAGATGAGGTCAAAGACATGTAGAAACACGTCTCCATCTGTCACTGACCTGGATGACAACAGAGCATTATGGCCTGTATTTTAATCCAGAGTTGAGGATTAATTAATAACTTACACTTAAAACTATTTGGTGTTAATTCAGATTGTTTTACTAAAAGATTTCTAACAAGATCATTTAACCACTCACTCACATCTATCTTTTCAACTCAGACACTTTCCCTCCCAAATGAAAAATGCAAAAGTCATCCCAATATTCACATCTGGAACAAACACAGCTTCAATAATTATCGGCCCGTCTTCTTCTGCCACAGTTTTCAAAGATACCAGAAACATTATTTGACAATAGACTTTGCAACTTTATCGACAACTTTAGTTTACGATGTGATGCCAATATGGCTTTAGCAAAAATAGATCAACGTCACTGGCTTTAATTGACCTTGTTCAAGAAATAGCTAACGTATAGAAACAAATGAATTAGTGACAGGAATATTTATGGATCTACAAAAAGCCTTTGACACAATTGACCGTCATATATTAATGATCAAAATGGAAGATTCTGGCAAAAGGGAACAGCACTGCAGTGGTTACAGAGTTACCTGAATGGGAGGAAACAACTCGTTTACTTTGATCATCTTGGGTCAAGCTTAAAGGATATAACTTGTGGGGTGCCACAAGGATCAATCTTAGGACCCGCCTTATTCCTCATGAACATCAATGAATTATACAAAATATCACCGTTCATGAAACTCATCCACTTTGCCGACGACACCACCATCACATGTGCAGGCCCTGGTTTGGAGCTACTTTTGTCCCTCGTATCAGTGCAGATGAACAAATTGAAAATGTGGTTGGATACTAACAAATTGTCCTTGAATAAAAAACAAACAAAGTTATGCTTTTTGGCAACCGTAAAAGCAATATACCATTTAGAATAGTTATTGATGAAATACCAATTAAACATGTTAAAGAAAATGTGTTTTTAGGAGTCATAATAGACGAGAATCTGACTTGGAAACCTCATATAAGTTACGTAAGGACCAAAGTTGCAAAATGTGTTGGAATGTTGAGAAGAGCAAGTCGTTTAATTAATACTAATGCTCTGTTATTATTGTATCGCTCATTTATCTTGTCTTATTTGAACTATTGTGTTGAGGTGTGGGGGAATTGTTACAAATCTGACTTGCAGCCCTTAGTTGTGTTGCCAAAGAAAGCCCTGAGGATTGTGGGTAACGTCCCGTACAGATCCTTCTAATCCCTGTTCATTGCAAATCAAGAAGTCAAACTGTACGACCTGATTATGTTTAAAACTGCTCCGATAATGTTCAGGGCGTCTGTAAACTCTCTCCATCCGACTTACAGGAGCTGTTCCATGACAGAGACGCTCACCACAGGCACAAACTCAGAGGAAACTGTCAATTATATCAACCTAAAGTTAGAACAACCCTTAAGTCAATGTGTGTCTCAGTGTGTGGAGTTAATATTTGGAACGGACTGTCGGATGAATTGAAATCATGCTCAAACAGTTGAATATTCAAGAACAAATTTAAAAACAAACTATTGCAGAAATATTTGGTGGAGAGTGTGATGCCCTGGGCTTGTTCTGGTGCTGAGAGAGGGGTGTGGGGTCGGAGAGTGTTTGGGCCAATGTGAGCGTGTTGTGTGTGTTGTGTGTATGTTTATGTGTGTCTTTATTGTCCTGTCTGTATGAGTGCGGTGTGTAAGGAGGGGGTTGGAAATATACAATCGTTTGCTTCAGCCAACCCCGTTTCCAAACCTTGTATATTGACTGTATTATTCTGTTGTACAATTATGTTAATCATGGTTTTTGGAATAAACAGATAAATGAAATCACTCTGCACACTCTCTCAGCCAATCAGCTCGCAGCCCGAAGAGTTGACTCACAGGGTTCTTTCCAACATGTTTTCCGATAAGACAGAAGAGAAGAAGAACCAGTTTTCCCTGTTTGTTCCTTTGTTCTTTCACATTATTTTGTCGTGTACATTCTGTGTCTATATTTACTCCATCTGTAAGAAGCACTATTGGCTTCCAGACTGTTGTGATGTCATCAGGGACGCATCTCTGACCAGGACCACACCTGCTTAGCTTTTGGAGATCCGACCACATCAGGCTTTTGTCATGGACTCAAATATAATAATCATAATTGTTTTTATTGCCATTGTAAGGAACAGGAAGTCACAAACTAATAAATGGCTTTGGCTCCAGATGCAGACAAGTTGTAAGAGAAAAATAGATAAAGGCATAAACAAATATTCATAAAATCTTTTAAAATTACCAAGTGCACACAATTTCATGAGAGAAAGGCACAACACACGAGGCAGGTCTCTCAGTGAGGACACACACGCTAAAAAAGTATTTATTGATCTATATGTGAAAGGACAGAAGAGGGGGACAGTCTGAGGCTCTAAAACATTCATGTTAGCTTTGAATACGCTGGAAATGGAAGTGACTAAGTCGCTCAGTTGCTGTTTTGTGTTTCAAAATCCTTATTTTTCTTTCTTTTTTGGTTTTACACTGATCCAGACCAGAGCAGAGAGGAGGCACGGTCCCAACCAATCAGATCACGAGGAAATCCAGTAACGTTATTAAAGTATTCAGAATGTCATGGACGGATGTGTTTCTGCTGCTGGACACCTGCATTTCTCCCACAGGGGTCAATAAAGTATCTATCCATTACAGATAGCTTTTCTGTGTGGAGGTTGCATGTTCTCCTCGTGTCTACGTAGGTGTCTTCCGAGTGGTCTAAGCTCAGAGCATCAAACATAAAAAACATCGCAAAATATTAAACTGTTAATGCTGATATTGAAATACAATGGCACACACAAAAAGGGTTTTCTTTAGTACTTGGTTGCCGTCCAAGGAGTCATGTGTTTCAGAGGGTAGAGCACAGAGCAGCTCAGACTCCTTTTAGAGCATCTGACCTCAGAGAGACTGGAACTTCCTTTTGCTAGACCACAAGACACACCTCCATCTCCCCACGCAGTCATATAGTTTCAAAGTGAGACCTTTGGTATTTAGCATGTCAATAGTCACATAAGCATATAGGAACAAGGAAGCAACCGAAGACAAAGAAATAGCATTGTTACTATAAAAAGGCCAGCTAAGGGTTACCAAGCAATGACAATGCCGCACATATACGACCCCTTCTGCCATTATATTTGGACCCGAGCAACGGGACACGCATGTACAGGCCATGTATGTTCATGTGAAATGGATTTGAAACACAAAGTTCTCAAAATTTGCTAAAATTATAACTTAAAACAACACTCTAATGACAGTAACACACAGAGTTTGTACTGTTTCTGTCCGAACTCTAGCAGGTGGATTGCATCAGCGCTGAGGAGCGACATGAGCCAAAGGAGGAAGATTCTGGCAACAGTGTGATTTTAATATACTTTATTAGAGCAGTAAAAGTTCTCTCATCTAGGAGTAGATTACGTACTGTCCCTTTAAGTCAATGTTTAGATAGTTGTATAAAATCACAAACAGTTTCAAAGTAAAAACATGTATTTTTCAACAACATTTTTCTTCTGTAGAAAAGTTTCACGCTGACAGAAATGAACAAAGTAGGGACCGGACTCTAAACGCTTTTTCTATCCATGCATCTATTTTCTTCCGCTTCATCCGTTGCCGGGTCACGGGGGCAGCAGTCTAAGCAGAGACGCCCAGACTTCCCTATCCACACACACTTCCTCCAGCTCGTCCGGGGGGACCCCAAGGCGTTCCCAGGCCAGCTGAGAGCGTGTCCTGGGTCTTCCCCGGGGTCTCCTCCCGGTGGGACGTGCCCTCCCCAGGGAGGCGTCCAGGAGGCAGGTGACCAAATGCCTCCAGCCTGAGTTCTCAATCTCCCATGACTGTAAACAAGTGCTGCTCACGTGTTCTCTGATACAGAAGAACTGTTGAATAATAACATTAATTATTATTTTTTCATCAAGTCCCGGTCCTAGTATAGACATCATATACCAAAATAAACAGCAGGGTCACAGAGAGCACTAAACTAAAGACTTGCAGCCAAAATACGACAAACAATTACTGAAAGGAGTTTACTTTAACATGTAAGTCACGAGGAGCCAGAATGAGTTGGAGCAAAACTTTGTCTATGAGCACTTCCCTATTGGATTTTATTAAGCTAGCTTGAGAGCTTTGTCCATCTGTAGACAGTCTATTCTTCTACTGCAGCCTCTACGTCCATGCGCCCCCTGCTGGTCAGCAGTCTCTGATGGTCCTCAGAGACACGTTCACATAGTCCTGCTTCTGTTCGGCTCGAGCTGAAACAGAAGCAACTTGTTATTTGGATTTTAGCTCAAACATTCTTGTTTATAAGAGCCCTGTGAGTCTCTCTTTGACTCTTTGGGCTGAGAGCAGATTGGAGACAACAGTGGGACAGGTTGGCGTTTTGTTTGGACCCGTGTCGGATTTCCATCACGGGGAAGACTGGAATGTGTCTAAGTAAAATGGTCAAAACACTTTTTTGTACCATTTTAAAAATATGTCTTCTAAAGTCACAGCGTAAGTACGAAGGACAAGAGAGAGACCAAAGAGAGACCAGAGAGACACTAGGAAGAGACCAAAGAGAGACCAGAGAGACACTAGGGAGAGTCCAAAGAGAGACCAGAGAGACCAAAGAGAGACCAGAGAGACACTAGGGAGAGTCCAAAGAGAGACCAGAGAGACACTAGGGAGAGACCAAAGAAGAACCAGGGAGAGACCAAAGAGAGACCAGAGAGACCAGAGGGAGACAAATAGAGAAACCAAAGAGAGGTCAGAGAGATACTGGGGAGAAACAAGAGGGAGACCAAAAAGAGACTCACATTTTGTTTTTGTTTTATAACCGTTTCCGCATGAGCCACTTGTGACCAACGGCTTAGAAAACGGTTTGCTTTTATTGTGTCTTAATTACAGCTATATTTGTTCTCAGACAAGGTCTCAAGGAGGGTTGGATGCCGAGTCGTTTTGACACACCAGCCCGGGTCCTCATTGTGGAAGAGAGAGGCGATGGTCTATACAGTTCCATTATTGTGGTTTGAAAGATACATACCCTGGCTTTAAGGCTGCGGGTGATTGGTCAGAGTGAGAACAAGTGTATGCATGGAGGTAACGCATGATTTTGACATATGTAATTTCTGTTCTCACCTCGTCTCCACTTGCAGTAGGTTGCCACGGCGACACACATGATGAGAGTGTAGAGCAGGAAGAGTCCCAGAGAACACAGCAGTCTGGGGAGGGGGAAGCCTTTTGGCCTGAGAGAAGGGGTGGTGAGGGGCAGAGCAGGGGTGGGCGGGACCGAGGGCTGCGGCACAACTGCACAATGAAGACATAAACACAACAAGGTAAGTGTGGCACGTTTAAACCTCTACAGTAACATGATCTCACTGAACACACACAGTTGTTGCAGAACATTTCACTGGAGAAAGGTACAGAAAGCATTCCTTACAGTGGAACAAGTTTGAAAGCAGAGTTTAGAGAGATGGGGCGGGGGGATGTGCCGACTGTGGTAGAAGTTCTTGATATTAGTGTGAATGGACCTAAACACACATGCAGGTTTGTGACAATGAGGAACAAATTTGGAGTCAAAAGTTTTTTGTAAACGAATTGGGGAGATCCACAAGGTTCGATCTTTGGCCCATTGTTATTTATTTGAAACAAACTTCCCATTGGTCTGTGACCCTCACTGTCAAAGTGTTACATTAAGTGAAACAGTGGTCCCTAAATATGATGTGGTCCCCCTTTAACAGATTTGGGTTTGTTTAATTTTATAAGAGTTTTTCACTGCTTGCTTTCTGGTGCTCACTCCACACCCTGAGCTGCTACACAGATAAGTTGGACACATCTTGCATCAAACAGATTGAAAGCAGTACATTCAGACAGAAGGGGTGGGGGTGTGATGTTTTTGAGGTGGGCGGGACCCAGGGCTGTGGCGCTGTCAATCAAAACTCTAGTTTAGGAAGGTTCCTCTTGTCTTCTTAGTAGGAATAAAGGTATTTGGTTTTTCTATATCAAAACCAAATACCTCCATAAATAGATAGAGGTAGATACTTTATTGATCCCTGTGGGAGAGATCCAGGTGTCCAGTAGCAACAAAAATAAAAAATATAATTGATAATTTCAAAAAGCTAACAATAGCAATAATCAGCAATAGCCCTTGGGTCACAGCAGCAGAGGTGGAGTAGCTTCTGGGTGGAGCAGGACAGGTCTATCATTATGGAATGATGGATAAACATGTTTAATGGAATAAGAGATGATCAGGATGAGCAACACTCCCGTCTAGTGGTAAAAGTAAGTAAGTAATTTTTATTTATATAGCACATTTTACAGACCAAGTTCACCCAAAGCACTTTATAATGTTCAGAGTTCAGATATTTTTCCATTCTCTCCACATGGTGATGAAGGCCCGTTGTTGTTTATTGTGTATATACTTTGATTTTTACAAATAATGAAATGCATTTACAAACAGGAGCAGATCACTAATGAGGAACAGTGTTTGAAGATGGAGAAAAGAGAGGATTCAGCAGAATACCGACATGTGTTCTTGTTTCTCTTACCTCTCCTGATCACCGACAGCCGGCTCTGTGGTGACCTAACATGTTTCATCACATGCTCACACTGGTACAAGCCTTCATCGTCTGGAGAAACAGCCTCCAGAACCATCTCACCTCCAGGAGAGGACCCCACAAACTCCCCCTGTCTGTAGAAGGAGGCATTGAAGTCTGACCTTGCTGGGTCCGCGTCACTGGCTTTGTACGAACACTTCAGGGTCACTTTTTTGCCTTCGTTCACCGCGAACACTGGGGTCCGGAGGATCACCTTGCCTGGAGGACACACGAGAGGAGGATCTGTTTGTAGAGATGAATAATTATAATAATACATCTTTATTTGTATAGCTTTTTTTTTTTTAAACAAAGCGCTTACTTTGTTTACAAAGTGTTGCTCAGACAGAATAAAGCAGAAAAACAGTCAAAAACAGTTCATAAACATTCATCCATCCATTTTCCACCCTTTATCCATTTCTGGGTCCAGGGGGTGGGCAGAGATACCACACAGTACCCATAGTCCATTAGACAGTCAGATCAAAAAGAAATACGGCAGAATAAAGCAGGCCGACAATGAGAAAGACAAAATAAAGACAAAGTGGAACAGTAAAATACAACACCTGAAGTTTAAAACTAGCAGCTAAAGGTCATGGGTTTTAAAAAGTGATTTAAAATTGTTCTTTTCTGCCCAATTTTATAAACTTGTTTCTTCACTGTTCTCCAAAAGTCTTACCGGGGACGGGCTGCAAATTAGCCTTAGGCTAGAAGCCCTATGTACTTGACATTGGTTACCTGTGGGTTACAATGTTTTTTGTACTGTCCCTGTCAAATAAATGAATAAAATAAACAAATTAAATAAAATAAAAAAGAAGTTTCTGATGGTGCTTCGTTTATCTCCTCAGACTGGTGGTTCCAAACCGAGGAGCCCGGACAGAGAAGGCTCCATTACCCTTCATCCAGAACTTCGCCCTTGAACAGTCAACATGGACCTGCTGAGGATCTGAGGCTGTAAGGGAAGGGCTCGTAGAGGGTTAAAAGTTCATAAATGTAACTTGGAGTCAGACGAGCTTCAAAAGTAATTAGTAAAATCTTCATCTGCACAGGGAGATAGAGGAAGGACTTTAATACAGGGGTGATGTGCTCCCTTCTGTTGTGTGTTATTTATCTATCTATGTATCTATGACAGTGTGCTGCTCACTGTAGCTCACGGTGATGTTGACCCTCTCTGTGCACTGAGACTCTGGGTCTTGGCACCAGTACTGGCCTGAGCTGGAGACCATTGCGGTCTTTACTATGCAGCTTGCTCCCCGTGGAGTACCCCAGGGCGCTCTGCACGACTCTGGGGTAGGTGTGTAGTCCGTGATGCGGTGGAAGGTCCAGGACGCAGAGGGACAAGTGATCTGGAACCTCTCCATGGTGTGGAACTGAGACATGGGCGGAGTCACCACCAGAGAGGCCGCTGTGCGAAGAAAACAAGGACATAACATCTCAGTCTAGAAGCGGTGACAAGACTCACAAACATATGCATGATGTTGGCCAGACTTCAGACATGAGAATAAAATGTCAGCTTTGTGAATCTAATCCTGGGGTCTCCAACCTGTATCCTCAGCTCCAGTTTTTAAAATCCGTGTAGTCGGCCACTGGACAAGACTGAATTTAAGTCACTCTTACTGAAAAATTTGGACTCATCTGGCACACAACAGTCTGACAGAACATCTGTAGCAGTTTGGTGCCGATGTGAAAAGAGCCTTTGCAGACAGAAGCATAGACTGGCTCTTCTTGTGGACAGGTCTGTGTTGCCATCTCAGTCCAGATTATTGTCCAGTCATAATCCCAGGTTTTGTACAATGAGCATGTGTAATTTGATAAACAATTATTTTGTTATATAAATGTTTTAACTTTTGTTTGTCTTTCCCCATCAAATCGCTAAACTTGTTAAGGGTTCCTTAGGCATTAAAGGGCCATAATCCGTCAAAAGACATTAATAAACCATGGTCTTTTCCAAAACTTATTTAACTGATCTCTGAACAGTAGTTCAGAGATATTTTAATTTCAAAATTACTTTTCCAGCCCCTGTATCTTGTTATTATTTTCATTTTGATGCCCCGCCCTCCACCGTTTCACCAATCAGAAAGTCTGTGGTCCGGGCACCAGAACTCACTGCGTCGAGCTAATATCACTGGTAAAGTACCATGTGGCGCAGAACTAAAAAAGGTCTTGTTATGATTCTCAAATCATTAACGACAAAACAAGGAATAAAACCAGGATTTCTAAAAAAGGTGTTGGTTATAGATTTGTTGTTGACTAAACTCTTGTCTATTCAGCTGTTATGGTCCCAGCTGGATTCGTCTGCATATCTGGCAACCTGAGTCAGGGAGAGTGGGAGAGGCTGCAGTACCACTTTTGGCCACATTTTTACAGACTGCTCCTTTAAGGAGCAAGGGAACAAAGTCCACGTCTGAATCAAGCAAAATGTATTATATTTCTAAATATCCTTTTATTGTCAATATACTTATGGCAAAAATTGCACTGGTCTGTTGGACTTAGTTGAACAAAATAAATTATATTTATTTGCTTAAGAGTCTGTCTTCAGTCATTACTCAATGGTAAACTAAAATAGAATACTATTTTTACCATAAAATACAATACTACTTGAAAAAAGGCAATGATTTAATTACAAACCTTCTAATCAATTACATTTCCACCTGGTTCCCGTTGATACAGACAGGCCTTGTTGCATTGGTTTTCCTCCAAAGTCTAGAATTATCTGTTTGGTTTACTGGACATTCAGCTGCCCTCCGCCAGTTGTCTCTACTCCTCCTCACCTCCTCCTCCTCACCTCCTCCATTATAGCCAGTAGTACTTTTGGAATATAACACACATTTATTACAGTTCCATCGCAGTAACTACAAAAGAGCCTCTTTTCCCCACACTGCGGGGCTCACTGACGGTACAATGATCAACTGTGTGCGACAGAGGAAGGATTCAAACAGCTTTACGATCACGTAGATAAAGTAAAAAGTATAAAATAAAGTTGATTTGTGTGGTTACCTGTGAGTGCGCAGAGCAGAGCCATTGCTGTGTGAAAGTGACACAGTTTTAGCCACATCCTGATTCTCCTGAACAGGAAATGACAGCAGAACTAATCTATGTACAACTGTGTACTGTGCATTAATATACAGGGGCAACTCGGGAAACTAGAATCAAAAGTTCATTTATTTCTGTAATTCAAACTAAAATATAAAAACAACATTTGGTATGGACTTGTTAGATAGAGATAGAAAGATACGCGGGGGTCCATTAGCAGCAGCAGTCCGATAAGCAGCATGCAGTGTACTTGCCGTTGAATTTGTAGCATAATGGGACCAGAATTACGCACAAAAAAGCTAATTTAAAGGATCCAGTGCACCCCCAGTGGTCATCCATGGGACATGTACCCTCTGCATAATGTAATATTTTGCTTGTACGGATGTAAAGATTTGACCCTGCAACTTTGATGCAGATCGGAACATGTTTAGGTCCGAGGCCTCCCAAAGGTGGCGGTCTCGAGTTCACATAAGCTATATATTTTCACACTGTCACTTACATGCCATAATCAACTATTAGTGATATGACTTTCAGACTAACTACTTTTACGTAATATAATTTTTTGCTCTGCTTTCAGAGATTATACTTAGCAATTTTCGGGCTGATCGGAGCTCCAGTGCCTTATTACTTTACGACGGGTGGCGCTAAAGAGTTCATATTGGGCAAATGATTTTAGTGCCTAGCACTGCGCTCGCAAAATGCCAGACGTCTGGTGGATCATAAGGTCTCAATAACCACTGTCGGCTGCAGAGCATTTAGCTCCAAGCTCCTTCACTGTGGAATCAGCTTCTCCAACGTCAAGGAAGCAGACACGGTCTCTACATTCAAGGACAGGCTAAAAACACCTTTTAATTTAGCAGATGGTTAGGTTGTTACGTCTCTGAAGCCTCACGCCACACACTGCAGCCGCTTCGGGAGCGAACGTCACCGCACACGGCACCAACACAAGCATTAAAATTTCAGAAAGACTCGCACACGCTTTGGAGCTTCCTCATGTTCCGCTCAAACTTGTGCGCGGGTGTTTCATGTTGTTTTTTTTCATTGTGGCGCGGCTTTGCCCGACTACTGCTTTACCAACAGCTATCGTAATGCATCATGGGATCACACTCGCTCGCGAGTGAGCTCCGGACCTCACTTGCGCTCAAGGGTGGTTTTTAGGGGTGTGAAGGCCCCCGCCTCATTTCCCAGTATTGGGACACCCTTGCACTCCCGCAGGCATGCGCAAACTCTAGGGCAAGTGTGCTTTTTAAGGGCAAGGGTGAGAATTGGGTCAGGCCTTAGTCTGGTTTTGGAGTCTGATTGTTCGGGACCCGGTCCGGCACACCGCTGCATCTTTCAATCTTTGATACAAACTCAGCACTAACTTAACTATGTATCGTGGTATACACACATTCTTTGGTGTTGTAGCCTGAGCTAGCCTAGTTGTGGCTACTGCTCTCTCTCCTTCGTTCGGTCTCTATATTCAAAGCTTAAAACAGTTCTCTTAGTTTAGCATATGGCTAGGAAGGTAAGACTCAGGGAAGGCTAAACTCCTCAGACTGTCAGTCAAGCTGCATAGGGAGCCCCCTGCTGGAGAAGTATGATAACAACACTATCCTCTCCTCCTTCCCACTTTATCTGTTTAGCATTATTAGGACTTTGACTGTAGTTTGTTCATTACTATTCACCCGGGACCTCTGAACCCGGCCCCTCCGTCGGGCAGGGCATTAAAATGCAGGAATGTCAAAAAGTATTTTTTGTATGAAGATAATAAATATAAGTCCAGGATAATAACATCAAAAACGAAACTCAGGGACATAGATAGATAAAGACAATACAATGAACCAGAAACAAGGGGAGAGGAGCACAGGTACATATAGAAACAGAGACACAGGTACATATAGACACAGAGACACAGGTACATATAGACACAGAGAATACACAAGTAAAACACATCAGGGCGGGGACGACAATCAAAACAAGGGAACAACACAGGGTCTAAAACTAAACCAAGTACAAATTAACAACAAATCCACACCCTGACACCCAGAATAAGAATTATTCAATGCTAATGTATAGCATCTTCTTATCTCTCAAAAACATCTTTACAGGATGGTCCATAAGTGGCTCTTGGTCCAAAGCTACGTTCCAGATGCTGTCAATGTTGAGGGGAGGTTTTTTTTGGACCGGTCTAGTTTAGTCGCAGTGGACTTTTGAAGGCACTTGTTAAATAAATAGGACTAGTGGCAGCTGATGCAATTGTAACGCAGGTGTCAATTTGACAAACTGTGTTATCTTGCGTTGGAATTATCTTTGAGCGTGACGTCACTGCGTTCGACACGACGTTCACCCAATCGGTGTTCAATATAGTCTGCCATACCGGAAGTGTCAGTACTTGCGAGAGCAGAGCGTGTTTTGGTGTGCGGGTACGGTAACGCTTTTAACCATCAAAATCATTATTAACTGTCATGAAACCTACTTTGATTCATTTAACATGCAGGACCCGACTGCCTTTCTCTCATGCGTTGCGAAACTGCCGCGTATGCTAGAGTTTACACGCGGAATTGGTGAGTTCGTGCTAACGTCAGAATTCTCCGTTCATTTGTACTGAGTTCGTTAGCTTAGCATTTCCCATTGACTTTCATTGTAAAGTTAGTAATGTGGTTTTTCCAAGTCTTTTCATTGTTTAAAGCAGAAATATTAAAATTTTATAGAAAGCCAAAACATTCTTTTATGATATGTATAGGTTGTATTAAAATGTTTTATTATTATGCTCCAGTGTTCAAATTCCTATCTTATTCTGAGCCTTGTCAGAGAACGACTCAGTTTGCGCTGGGCTCTTTAAATGCAAATCAACCGCTTCACACCCCACCCCCTTCCACCTAACTGGGAGTGTTTCTTTTCTGCTGAACACTCCCACCTGCCATTGTTGTGGTTCTCTACAATTGCGAACAGCAAAGGGCCTGTACCGTATTTACACTGACACTATTATTAGTATTTAGGACAAAAAATTTAAGGGTCAGCATCGGAAGAATTCACCCTTCAGCCTTATATGAATGAACCGGAGTCCATCCCAGGGAACGAAGACATTGATCCAGACGAGCCTTTGGAGCCGCGGCTGGAAATGAGCGCTTCTCAATGGTTTGTGCAGTTATAATATAACGTTATACAGTGCGAGATGAACAGCTAAAGCCCAATGTATGCGTGATTATTTGGGGAAAGAGATGTATGGTGTTTCTTGATAGATTTTGCTCTCTCAAGAGATCTGCACTTCTAAGCTAAGTAGCGAACGAATGTATTTACTCACATGGACCATGGCAGGTCCGAGATACTGTTGTGGAGAAGTTTAAAGCCGGATTTGGATATAAAAAGATTTCCCAAGCTTTAAACATCTCAAGGAGCACTGTGCAAGCAATTATATTGAAATGGAAGGAGTATCAGACCACTGCAAATCTACCAAAACCCGGCCGTCCCTCCAAACTTTCATCTCAAACAAGGAGAAGACTGATCAGAGATGCAGTCCACAGGCCCATGATCACTCTGTTCATAGGCCTGTTCAAGATGGCGCCGCAATGAGAGCTCTAGTGTGCACAATCTGTGTTTTGTTGCTGTTTGTCTTTGAGTCACTTGCCACTGTGAAGTATGACCGAGAGGCGCTTCTTAACAATCGGGACCTTGCGTGTGACGGGTCACTCGTACTACCCGAACTGAGGTGCACTAACTTCCTCGAGTGTCCCACTCGAGAGGCCCGTGGAGCACGGCAGGCGGGCCGCGGCGGTGGCCACCAACAGAGCGAGGAGACCGGGCGTCTCCGGCGTTCTCTCCGTGGTGTGGAGCTGGGCACCTCGAGTCGGCGAAGGAGGCGCAGACACCGGGGAAGGCGAGGCGGTCTGCTCGTTCGTAGTCGCTCCTCCAGGACCCCTTTGCCCTCCATCTACCTGGCCAACGTCCAGTCTCTGCCCAACAACACGGACGAGCTCCTCAGCGAGACGTGGCTCCACTCGAACGTCCCGGACTCTGCTGTTCAGCCCCCGGGATTCACCGCTCACCATGCGGACAGAGATAAGGAGACCACGGGCAAGGCCAGAGGCGGAGGTGTGTGCTTTTTAATTAATCAGCGCTGGTGCACGGACACTTGAATCGTGAACCAAACATGTACTGCCAATCTGGAATGCCTGGTCTTGAGCTGCCGCCCTTTTTATCTTCCCCGTGAGTTTTCAGTGATATTTTTATGTGCTGTTTACATTCACCCACGTGCGGATTACAAAGTAGCCCTACAGGATCTGAGCGAGATCCTTCACAAACATGAGTCTGCTCATCCTAACGCAGTCATCATTGTTGCTGGGGATTTCAATAAATAATAAAGACTGTACTCCCGAACTTTTACCAACATGTGACTCGAGCTACAAGAGGAGCACATGTTCTGGATCACTGTTACAGTAACGTGAAGGGAGCTTACAGGTCCAGTCTCAGACCTCCTTTTGGAAAGTCTGACCACTCCTTTGTTCTCCTTCTTCCTTGGTATACTCAGAGGAGCAGGGAACATAAACCAACCTCTCGCACTGTGCAGTGTTGGTCTGAGGAGGCTAGCATGAAGCTACAAGGTTGTTTTGATGCTACGGACTGGTCTGTGTTTCAGTCAGAGGACGTCAATGAATTCTGTGACGCTGTGTCTGGATACATACGCTTCTGTTTTGACTGCTGTGTCCCACAGAAGGTCATTAAAGAACATTTTAGTCAAAACCCTTGGATGAACGCGGAAGTGAAACTGAAACTTCATGAGTGTGCGTTGGCATAATACAGTTGCTTATAAGCTATCCTGTTACTCATTGAAACGTTCTATTAAATCTGCAAAGCGCAGTTATGGGGACAGGTTAAAGAGTTATTTTGAGGAAGATGACCCTCGGCGCATGTGGAACGGTATTAAAGCCATCTCGTCGTGGAAACCTAGTGCTGGGAAAATTGCATCTGTCGGCCAAGCTCTGCCAAACGAGCTGAACACGTTCTACT